TTATTACTAATTACTAGTTACTAATTTACTAACTAATTTCTTTTTTAATTACTAATTATTAATACTAATTACTAATAGAAAAAAACCCTTAGTAATTAGTAATTAGTAATTACTATTACTAATTACTAACGATTTTGCAACCCTGCCCCTACAATCGACTTAACATTCCTTGGCTAGGTTTCCGCTTCTGTAATGGAACTAACGCCAAACCTTGTGCATCCCGTCGAGAACGTTTTCTGGCGCACGCCTAACCCGGTTTCGGTCGAGAGCTATGGCCACAGGGTTCTGTGACCCGTTCTGGGTGAGTCTGGAGCGAGTGGCGTGCCTCCCGAACATCTCCGAGTGCGTTTGGGGGGAGGGAGTTCCTGTCTGGAATGACCGGAGCGAATTACGGTGCTCCCGTGAAAAGACACCCTTGGTGAAGGACAATTTAAAGAGATTGACCACCACGAGATTTGTTTCGATCGGTCCCCTCATTGTCTAAGCCCAGTGACAATTTCACTTCTTTCATCATGCCTCACATTCATGATAAAGCTGTTATCAATGGCATTAATGGCCACACGGATGACTATGAGCCTGTCAATGTCATCATCCCCATTGGTGGTATCGGCTCTCGCTTCGCCAAGGAAGGATACCGTTTCCCAAAGCCCCTCATCAACATCGTTGGGCAGCCAATGCTTCTGTGGTTGATCGAGAATCTCAGCCTCCGCCCCAAAGACACTCTATGGATCGCTGTGAATGAGCAGATTGACCATGAGTTCAGAATCGGTCAGCTCGTCAGCAAGAACTTTCCAAAGGTTAACTTGAAGCTCTTGTTGTTGAGGCATCAAACGAAGGGTGCTAGTGAGACTGTAAGTAAATCACCAATCATCACTTTCGCCCAAATGATCATGGCCTAACCTGCCTCCCCCGCCTTAGCTATACATGGTCACTCAGAGCATGACCAAGGAGCACTTGCAACACCGAACAGTATCTCTCGATTGCGACACGATTTATTGGAATGACATCTTGTCATCTGTGCGCAAGCTACCGAGCGGTCACGGCGGCTGCTTCTACTTCATCGACCACGGCGACAAGCCCATCTTCTCTTATATCCAGACAGAAAACGAATCGTAAGTCTCCCGTCCCATTCTTAACTTACCTCCCGATGCTGACTACTATGGCCAGGCCCGGTGCAGAGCGAATCGTCGACATCCAAGAGAAGAAAGCCATCAGCAACAAGGCCAACACGGGAGCCTACGTCTTCCCCTCCGCCGCCGATCTCAAGACCTGGGCCGCCGAGAACCTCGACATGAAACATCCCGACGGCGCTGAAGTCGGCGAGTACTACACCTCACAAGTCATCTCCATGATGGTCCAAAGCGGCGTTCCCTTCATCGGCTTGCCTCTCTTGAAGAAGGACTTTGCTGTAGTTGGCACCCCAGAGCAGCTACAGGAGCTCCTCGCTGCCCTCAAGAAAGACAACCATAGCATGCCCGCCACTTTGAAGAAGCGCAGGTTCTGCTTCGACTTGGACATGACCCTCGTGGGAGTCCCCGCCGTCTCGGGGGATTACTCGACATGCCCGCCCATCTCCAAGAATATTCGCCTCGTGCAGCAACTGTACAAGGCTGGCCACTACATCATCATCGTAAGTACAGCATATTCACCGTCCTGCTTATATACTAACATCCTCCCAGCAAACAGCTCGCAGAATGAAGACTCACTCTGGCAATCCCGGCAGGGTCCTCGCCGACGTCGGCCTCGTCACCTTCAAGCAACTCTCAGACTACGAGATTCCCTACCACGAGATCAACTTCGGCAAGCCCTACGCCGACGTGTACGTCGACGACCTGGCCGTCAACGCCAATCTCGACACCGCACGTGAACTCGGCTGGATCCTCGACGAGCCCGAAGTCACACCTCGTCTCGGCCAAGTCCGTAGAAGTTCTGCCGAGGATGTCAAGAAGGCGGGTATGATTGCTGCGCGCGACTTCAACACTGTCCAGATCATCAGAGACAAGGTCATCAAGTCGAGCAAATCTGAGGCTATCCTCGGTGAGCTGTACTTTTACGCTCACATGCCGCCTACACTGTCTCGTATCTTCCCCTCTGTTTACAGCGTGGATTACATCCCCGCTACTTCAACCTACAGCATCACCATGGAGAACCGTCGCGGGCGCACATTCTCTCATCTCCTCGTCGGCCGCTCCATCACCAAAGGTCGACTAACCAAATTCCTCGAGACCCTGCACACTATCCACACTGCACCAAATACCACTTCACAGCCCGTCTTGGACGTCCCCGAAGCGCTAGATGCCAAGTTTGCACCAAAGGCGCCTGGTGATCACCCCATCAACATCTACGCCAACTACGGCACCAAACTGCGCAGCCGATATTACCAGCATCGTGATCGCTACGATGCGCTGGGTCCATTAGCTGCCTCGCTGTTTGCGCGGCTGGATGAGTTCCTCGATACTTATGAGGCTGAGGAGAAGGGCGTTCACGCCAATGTCATCCACGGTGATCCCGTGTTTAGCAACGCCATCATTTCAGATGATGAGAGAACCGTTAGCTTCATCGATGTGCGGTGCCAGCTGGAGAATTACCTTACTCCCGAGGGCGACATCAACTATGATCTCGGCAAGGTGTTGCAGTCACTATGCGGATATGACTACATTCTCTTCATGAGTGCGAATAACTATGACCTCACAGGGGCGCTGGAAGATGATAAGCCGCTCTTGGATGAGGCAGATACTGAGCTGTTGAATGAGCTGCAGGAACAGTTCTTTGACTTCCTCAAGAATAACTATTCCGTGAGGCTACATCGCAAGACATTGTTCCGCGTCACGGCCTCTCTATTCTTCAGCCTTATTCCTCTGCACCGAAAGGAGTTAGGAGCTGTATTTCTACGCATGTGCAAGGAGACGTTGGACAAGGCGGGTGGTATTGGTTATTAACTCTGTCTGTAGCATCATTAATGTATATTTATTTCCTCTCCAACTAAAATTGGTAGTCCTTGATAGATAGGCGGCTATACTAAACACTTTCTTCATTCTTGTCTTCTTGTATGTGTACTAAGTTGAGGTCTGTGCCTGCATAATTGACAGAAACATGTATCTGTCCACAGTGTCGCTAGATGGGACAGGCCAGTTTACGACAGTCACTAAAGGCAGTCAGATATCTAAGAGAGAATGCAGTAGTGCCAAGAGACTTTTATTTGATTCAAGCTGAGTAAATAATTCAGTCCAAACTTTGCAGCCAATGCGAAAACCTTTCTGCTGAAATAAACTTCTAACGTAAATGTAATTCGATACCAAGACAATACACCACATAGGAACTCCAATTTTAAGACAATATTGCACACCGAGGGTATCATCTAAGTCAATCCTTGTCGACACAGCTCGTGATTCGTTGCTCCGCCTACTGCTGGGCAAGTGTTGCGTAGCTGACCTTTTAAATAAACGATGGTATGGAATAGCTAAGTAAGCTTTCTCCAATGAGCAAGTTTGCGTCAATTCTCAAACACAAATGGAGATGACCAACTTGGCTGGCGTAGAGAGCCTGTCTCCGCGATAATGACTACCAGAACGACTTCTTAGAGCGTCTATGGTTCGCTTTCTTGGCAGGCTCTCTGAGAGAATACCCATGAGAGAAAGGTTTATGGGCAGGCTGTGAGAAGGTTTGTTGTGGAGCTGCTCTGCTGCCAAAGTGAGAAGGCTCGGGGCTGGCAAAGGAGACATTGGGAGTGTTCCTCAGCGAGTGACCGTGTTTGAAATGCTTTTTAGACTGGGGTGGCGTCCACGGTGTTGGTGCAGCCGCACTGGAAGCCTCGGGGTAGGTGAAGGAGACATTGCGAGTGTCCCTCAACGAGTGGCCCTGTTTGAAATGCTTCTTCGATGGAGGTGGCGTCCACGCCATTGGCGCAGCCGCACTGGAAGGCTGCGAGAAGGTTTGAGGAGCGTGCGAGAACGCTGCTCGTGCAGCTGCTACGCCCAGGTCAGAGCCTTGGCTGTAGCAAGAATGGCTAGGTGGAGAGGACTCTGGGACACCAACAAGACCCATCTTCTTCTTCTTGGGGGGATCTCGGAGAGAATACCCGCCTCTGAAATGCTGAGTCTCCCTCATGGTGTACCCACGGTTGAAATGGGTAGGAGGAGCTTGATATTGGGGTCCAGCTTGATAATGACCGGTTGGCTGAGATGGATTGTTACCCATGTTGAAGGTATTGAGAAAGTGTTTGAGATGTGATGTTATTGTGTGGCTAGGTGTTTCAAGATGGATCCTGTAACAACAGAGCTGATAGAAAGTGTTGGTGCGTTTGTGTGTGTACCAACGAGTCGAAGGTAGGATGAAAGGATGAGTGACTGCAAGTGTTTGCCTATGTGTGTATAGCAGAGAGAGACAGACAGACAAAGTATGTGTGAGTTGTGAGTAAGAAAGTCAGTGAGGGCGTGATGAAGTCAGTGTCTGCGGTATGTGTGTAGCAAAGAGAGGGAGACAGTCAGAGTAGAACTCAGTGTCTGCTTTTGTGTAGGCACTCAAGGCAAGGCAGAGAGTGGAGACTTGAGTGTCAGAGAAGTGCACTTGGAACAGAAGATCTGAGTAATCCTGACTTGGCAGATTCAAGCTGAGTGTCCAAGTGTGTGCTAAGGAGGAAAGAAAGTAAGGCAGAAAGAAAGGGCACGACTGCCGTTTTATACCCCGAAGGCGAGCAAGAGTGATGTGGGGGAAGTTTAAACTTGAATTATAAAAACAGTGTTTATTTACCTCAAGCGGAATACAGATATTACAGGAACAGCGTATTTGGTGGCAAGAAACCATGATTTCACTGAAGGTTTAGTAAACACAGCTACAATGACTTTAATCCCGGAAAGATTGGACGATATTGCTCAGCCAATGTAACTCTCTTTGAGGTCCTCGGCTTCGGATTTGCTGACTATAGGGCCGATTTCCTGGCAAATCACTCTTTTTCTAGGCAAAATCGATTTGGATTCGAGTAGGCGGAGCAGGTTTGGGTGGATTGGCTGTGGGCATATTCCAGGCCGCATCCTGTCTCAGGGGGATTTGCTCGAAGAGCATGCCCGTGTTTCGAATGTTTGAAGTACCCATTCTGGAAATGTTCTGTATGATGTCGAGGTTGATATTCAGACTTGGATCTACCGCAATACCTCTTGAAAGACCTGTGGGAGTGTCTAAGTTGTGATGTTGTGTGATTGGGTGCATCAGGAGGGATGATGGAACAGTAGAGTTGAGAGAGCTGATGAGGTGAAACTAACAGAAAGTGTTAGTGCGTTTGTGTATGCAAAGACGAGCCCACGATAGGTTGACCGTAGATAGGTTAAGAGCAGGCTTCCGCGATATATGTGTGCAGTGAGCACAGAAGACGGAGTCAGAGCTTGCAATTGGTCTGATAGATGCTATGGCATTCACGCTGTGTGAGTTCTGACACGGTAGCTTTCCTTCTGTACATCTGACCCCATTACGATTGGAAGGCTAAATGAACTTTGCTTCAGATATAAAGCCTATAAAAATGTCTCTAAAAACGTTTCCAAATCTTAGAGTCGAGGCTATCAATCAACTGGTCAATTTAGCCTTCATCACCGCCTGATGTTCCGAAGCTTATCACCTGTCAGCCAATGCAAAGTTCGCTAACGTATAGGGAAGCCTGAGTCTAAATATTTTGCGGTGACAGCCCAATCAGGTTCGTCTCGATAGACGGACTCTGGAAGTTTAAGTCGCCGCACGACTTCAAGACGAGACGTATCATCATAAGAACCATTAAGAGTTCCAAGGAACCTTCATCCTCTCTTATCAGTCCGGTGCCTATTTGCCGTAGTATTGGTATTGAGGAATTTTACTACATACACGGATGTTGTTTATGGTTTGCGAGATTCAGGGTTTCCCCTTGATGTGTGGTGCCATTGGGCTTCAAAAGGCTAGAACGGCGACCAAATGCGATTTTTCTTAACTACCGCCGGGTGGCGATCTCCTTGGACAGTGAACGAATCAAACTTCTCAAGGCCGTCATTGAGTCTTTTTAGTTCTTCCTTCTTACTCGATCTGGCCTCTTCCAACACGGGCTCGAATCTTTTATGCCTTGAAGTTGAGTAGTGAGTCAATCCTTCAAGGTCTGTTTACTCATCAAGACGACCAACCCCTTGCTCGGTTGTTATCATTCTCAAAACCTTGAGGGCCACAAACTCTTTACCTGGAACAGTCTGTAGCTGCTCTTTGCCGACATTATCCATCCTGGGAACATCGATCTCGGTTGACTCGGTACTGCTCGTCTCGGAGTGTGACCAATGACTTTACCCAAGCTCATACAACCTATGGTTCCAGTTACATTGCCTTCCAATTGTTACATACTTCGGACAGCACAAGGAAATGCACTGGCAGGTGCGCTTAACGTAGTCCCCACGCTCAAATCTTATGTATAGGCTTGAGGAGATGTTTAAAATATCCAGACCTGTATCCTTAATGGCGAGAAGTCTTAGATTAACTTCTCACAGTCGAGTAAGTAAAGAAAAGATTTATATTAATTTAGTATAAATTTACCAGACCTTTGGTTGTCAATTCCTCACCAGTGAACATGAGTTCGCAAGCCCAGGAAGGTGAAAGGCCAATCAGCCTTTCAGACGTCTCTTCTGCTTTAGCCATTCGGCTCCATTCTAAACCGTACACTTTTATGGCCCATGTAACGTCCAAGACAGCAGGCTTGGATCTCCAGCCGACGCATGTCGGTGATCTTATTAGACGTGGGGCAGTCAATTGCGGCTAGCAAAGTCGATAGTGTCCTCTCCTCGGCCTCTCACTGGGTTCCCAGGTTCTCAAACACTAGTCCCTGAGTTAGTGGACGGCTACCAGATGCAACCTCCCGTCGTCGTCACCCCTTTGGCGGAGGACAAATAAAACTCTCTCTGTGCGCAATTGCTGTTTTTTTGGTCTCTGATTTGTCACTCGCTTTGTCTTCCCGTCATTCGTTCAATCTCTATAGGCAACATGCGTTTCACAGTGTTTTGTGCAGCTGCTTTGGCGGCAAGTCCAGCGTTCGCTAGCGTTTGTAAGCCTCGCTCTTCAAGGGACTCAAGTCAGTAAAACTCTTTGCGATGAGACTGATTGAACATGACTCACATCATTACAGCCACCACTACTACTGTTGAGTCTGCCACCTCAAACCTCCCGTCTACCACGAATACCGAGCCTCAGACTACTACAACGGGGCTCGCGACAGCCACTTCCGTCGACCTTTCGCGCACCATCGAAACCTCAACCTCAAATGATGACTCCACGGCAGCAACCACTGCCCCAACAACTTCATTAGCAGAGACCACCGATCTCGAAGTATCCGTTGCTACAACCACGACCACTGAAGCCACCACAACCGAAGCAGCCTTCGAACCAATTCCTACCTTCGACGTTGTTGGAAAAGGCGCTCAAGTGGATGGCCAATACCTGCTAGGATACCAATCAGCTGGCTTCTTTGTTGGGTGGCAATACCCATCTACTAACTACCGTCTGACCTTTTCTATCGACTCAACGACCAACAGAGCTATAGACGTCAACGGAAACATCTTGTGCATTCAATATGGAACGGATGGGATGCCAGATTGCTCAGGACTTGTAGTAACAATATGCTCAACCAGCCAGACTATGCCTTGGTTACATGCGAGCAAACGCGCGATCAGGAGCTTGACTGCTCCGTCCCTGCGAAAACCTGTACCCTTGACTTTGATACTCTTGAAACGACTTGTACTACGCTCACAGGGACGTATGATAACTTCTACACATACTCTGGGAGGCAGGATGGGATATTCTTGGCAATGGCGGGGGCTACCAATCCTGGTGCGAACTACCAGGCTGTCGTGCTTGGAATCACACCCAACGAGTCGAAATAAGACTGCGGTCAGATTTCGGAGCTGTATACATGACTCGCGGCAAGATGCAGAATGAAAACGCCACACTGATTGTCCAGACAAGATTTTGCATCGACTTGCTCATTGAATAGGCGTTGAGAGAATCCACAAAGGTCCATTTATTACTAGACTATTGCATCACCTAACGTCACGGGGATAGTCACTGAAGAATAGCGTCATCTTACTCAGATCAAGATCAGGGAAGAAACCCCCGCCAAATTTGCGGGCGTCGTCGCCAAGCGTAGAAATGAGGCCCACGGCAAATCGCCACTAGATTATGTCAGTATTCCAACTTCTCTACAACAGCACGAATCTCTTGACTTGCCTGTGGGACGTTGTTCCTCTTATCATGGTAGACCAACCAGCGCTTAGTCTTCTCGTGGTTCAGACTGTATTGAAAGGAATTATCAACAACGACCGTCAGATCATCTCCCGGCACACTCTTGCTCCTGAGAGAGTCGAGATACGTCGTCTGTATAAATATGACGCTCTCTTCATTGCCTGGCGAATTTTCAGTATGGGGAGTTCATTAAGGCTTTTATTGCATTCGTACCTTGATCTTTGTTGAAGAAAGGAACTGCGTAGTACTGTGCTGTGCGATCGGAGAAGTGCAAGGTCCATTCTATCTTAACCTCTGTGGTTGTAAGCTGGTCAGCGGGGATGAAGATCTTGTTTCCCTTTTCGAGGACCATTTCGATAGACACGTAACGTAACGTGACTTGTGCGGTGAAAAAAGATTTTGGAAGATAGGCAATTGCTGAAGGATAATGTATGAATTGTGCGGAGTCTATATAGGTTCGGGTCAGCGTCTAAAATACAGCGAAATATTCGCTTCGAAGTAGAAATCGTGGCTGGCTGACAGCTTAAACCAACAAAGATAAGTCAGCCTTGACTGGCTGATTATTGAAAGTACATACCAATCAGCTTCTCGTGAGTGGAGAGTGATCTTCTCAAGTGGTTGTCTGGAGCTATTGAGGCTTTGGTCTCGATTCCAATGTCTCAGCCATATTGGAATTTAGCGTGTCTGGGCAGACCATTTGGTAGTAAGTGGCTTAGCTGAGGTGCGACACTATTTAATTTACAGCTCAAGATGATTATTTGCGCCTTCATCAAGTGCCAAGGTTTGTTGGTGTTCAAATGATGGGCAGCTCCAGCAACGGATGAAAAACACAAATCATCCCCTCAAATGCCAGTCATTTTCTTAATCATTTGTACCATCATTGAATATTTTTTCGTTTCCCAATCTGAGGTATCACTATTACTTCGCCGAGCAGAGACTTCTAAGAGACACCATCAATGCCAACCAAAAGGCTACCCGGCTATTGGAGTGTCTACAACAGTGCTGTCCAGGTCTGAAAACCACCATGAAAACTGGATCATATTGTCAATAACATGCACTATCTACCCTAGCTTTCTGACGCGGTGATCATAGATGAGTACAATCGCTGAGATAAGAAACTGAAGGCCAGCTGAGCTAAAGCGACCTTTACTCTCAGGCAGTCCAAGTTTCCGGATAGTAGAGACCGTTAGGCTGAAGCGGTTTTGGTCTTGCTGAACCTCCAAGGCTTGATCTTCCTCTCGAAAAGCTCATCGACCTCAGCCGCAGTTCGTCTAGCGCGTGTTAGTGCTCTGTATACTCCTTGATGTTCTGTGACTTACCCAGATGTATCGGGAAGTAGAAGCCATGTGCCGATAAGGAAGGGCAGTCCGGCACCAGCGTAGAACCAGCCAGTCTTGAAGCCCCAGTTCCACTTGTTGGCGTTGACCATGTATGGAGTGAGCAAATTCATGACGACTCCAGCAACGCAAGTGCACGCAGCACCAAAGCCGGCTGTATAAGGTCGAAGACGCAGAGACGAGATCTCAGCTATGAAGCCCCAACCAGCAGCACCGTTAGAGATCATCCCAACATCTGAAGACTGTCAGTATCACAGCCGGACTATTGGATAGAGAAAGAGACTTACTCCAAAGGCATACGAAGAGAACAAAGATGTTCGAAGTCACGTTTGTTCTGGGAATCAGACCGAGAATTCCGATGACCACACAGGATGTCCATGAAAGCGTCGTGGCGTAGCATGAGATGCGGCGTCGTCCAATCTTATCAGCTACCAGAACAACGATCAATAGGGTGGTGATATTGATGGAAGACGTGATGCATTTGATCGTAAAGGGGTCAGCCAGGCCGGCTTGCTGGAAGAAATAGGTTCCAAAGGTCGCAAAAAGTGTAAGGCCGATGAATTGCTGGGTCAGATTCGGCCACAGCGAGATAACAGTTCGAAGACCATCGATTCCACGAAAGATGGCATACCAGTGCTCCTTCTTCTGCTGAGCCGCAACTTCTCTTTCATGCTCAAAGGTCTGCACGATGATCTGATACTGATGCTCTTCATCATAGTCGACGACGCCGCGATTGAGCCTGAGCAGCTGCTTCTTGGCGCCTTCTGCGTTACCGCGGCTGACGCACCAAGCAGGCGACTCTGAGAGAAAGACGTAAATGATACACATAATGCTGATTTGAGCCCATTGGGTGTAAATAGGTGTGAGCCAAATGTTGGGGTTCTTTCGGTTCAGTAGCTGCAGGGCGATGTAGGCGAAGAAAGATCCAATAGTCCACCAGAGACTGTAGCACATGAGAAGGCCTCCGCGGATACGGGTAGGTGCGCACTCGGAGATATAGACGGGCAGAGTCGATTGAAGGGAGCCGACTCCGACACCCGCGAGGAGCTTAGCTGCGAGCCAAACGGGCCAAGTCCTGGCTAGAGTCTCGCACAAGACACTGCTGACAAGGATAGTCCAGTAGGTCCACATAGCAGTCTTGCGGCCATATCTATCAGATAGGAAGGGAATCGTCAACATGCCGATGATTTGACCGACGGACATGATGGAGCTCCAACCAGCTAGGATTGGAGCCGTGAGGTATTCGTCTCCGTCGGTGTTGGTAGCAGTCGCAAATTGATGGACGAAGCCTTTGTTGGCGATGATGCTGCCGTTGATACTGGCTCGGATTAGCATGACATGTGCATAGTAAAAGAGATGGAAGAAACGCACCCGATCTGATATCCATCGGTAGCAGCGCTGAAAGCAGCGGCGAAACAAAACGCCGTAGCAACTTTGAAGACCTTGACGGTTTGCCATAAGCTCAGGTTCTCGTAGCCCGAGGAAAGCTGGCCTTCTTGGACTTTGACGTCGGAAGCTTTGAAGGCTTGTTCGACGTGAAATTCGCCGACTTCATCATCGAGCTTGGAGGTGTCAACTTGTTGTTTAGACTTGATGGAGGACATGTTGGCTGTTGTTGATGAATGGCGAGGATGTGTGAGTGATGTAGATCAACAGGCTGTCGGGTGCATGCCTTTAAGTATTCTCGTCTGATCCGACAATATGGATCTAATGTTTTTTCCCCATGGGGTTGTCGAAAGGGTTTTGCACGAGATGTCGGGGAGATTTACCGGGGGCAAAGGTCACGGACTATAGTCTGTTCTTTGAGTGGTGGCAGCTGATGCAACGGTATGGGGTACACAGGTAGGATCACGGGCGTCAAAGAGGCTGCATAGCTCTGGTTAATACTTTAGCCGTGTGGTCCAGTTGGGCTACTGATGTTGTGAAGGGTTGAATTGTGCGATCGATTTTCGCAAATGCTTTTCCTACTGGATCTTACCGTGAAGCTAGTGCAGAAATATTGAAGCGTTTGCTCAGTGGCGGCTCTAGAACTCTGATGTTGTCCAAATGTGGTGCTAACTTCGGGGAGCCTCCCCGACCACCAATCAGATCCAGATGGTGATGGGCATCAATTCAATTCCCAGAGCCATGAAAGTGAATCTTTTATCAATCTCGGTTTATCTTGGAGCGAGAATCGTTGTTTTCGGACTTTTTCAGTCCATTGTTGTTCCCTTGGACTATTATCCTCAAGTTCGTTTCGCCCAGATACGTTGGCTATCACCATCTTCTCCAGGCAACATGGTCCAGGAAGCAAGCACTTCCGAGCCCGCAGCTCCCATGCCTCAAACCTTTGAGCGCATCGCGGACGAGCTACTCCCCAATAAGTTTCCCAGAGCTGAAAAGATTACAGCAATGCTATCTCAGCACTGTCCACAGCGTCAACCCCATTCTAGACGTCGCTGTCCTCGACCAGTATATTACCAAAGTTTCGGAAAATGGCCTGGACTGGACGACGTAGACTTGTCTTGTTGCCCTTGTTTGCGCCATCGGCGCATTGTGTCAGGACCCGCTTGTCGAAACACCAAAGACACATAATAGTTGGGACCTTGAGCATACTACGGATATTGCTTATAGGTATTGGAGCGTCGCGTGTAAAAGGCTTGGAAGGGCCATGAGTCACAATACATTGGAATCAGCCCAGTGTTTGTGTCTGGCAGGGTAAGTTCAGACGACATGTCTCTTGCGGCTCATATTTCTTCCAGAGGCAAATATACTGAACTGAGTTGCAGCATCTGGTTCATGTGCAATTTACAACCACTCGAGGCCTGGAGATATTTCACCATGGCAGGAAACTCGTGTTATTCTGCGATCTGGGCTAGGTAAGACACCATCGATCAACGACGCCCAGTCAACGCTTATACAGCTCATAGGGAATCTACCATGCCTTCCTGGCCAGGGAGCACCCCTTCCGGTCCACAAGCGATCAAGCAAAGCATCTTCTACACCGCATATAAATCAGAAGTGTACGCGAGAAGCATTGCTTGTATGTCCGCTTGCTAACAAACCTGCCCGTATATAGCGAGATTCGTTACGAGATACCCAGCTTGCCTGGCTCAATGCTCGAACACATCGAGGATCGTCTCACGTTTCCGTCGCCGCCAGCAGCGAAGTGCGTCTTTGACGAGACTATAGCTTGGTACTACTTCCTCGCTGACATTGCCGCCCGCCATTTGATCAACCGCATCGTCGACGCCAAAGTTGAGATCTCTGCGTGCCCCAGCGAAGTACAAGCCAGGTCTTTACTCCGATCATATGAGGTTTTCGGCTCACAGCTACAAGACTGGTATCTGTCCCTACCACCAGAGATATCGTTCCCGCCACCGGATGCAACTATCTGCCCCGAGACGAATATCTATAAAAGAATCCTTCGTTCGCGGTATCTCTTGATCAAGGAGCTTCTGTGTCGGCCGTTCGTACGGTTGTCTCTTAACTACGAGGTTGAACTCCATAACGCTCTAGTTGATGAGATAGTCAGTATAGCCTCTCTGGGTCTCCATTATTGTGCCTGGAGACTTAAGGCTGTGGATCGAATGAGTAAGCTTGATCATGGACTGTGGATATGGATTCGAAATAGTACATCGTGTTCCATGATACTAATTGGGGCTGCTCGGAGCATCCAATTCCGGTCCGGCACTGCGCGGCTAGTTCTTCCTGAGGATTGACGTGAGACTGTTGTTACCTTTTTGCACGGACTTGAGAAGTATTCTCACGAAACGAGAGGTGGCGTAGCTTCATGTTATCGACTTGTGGTATGGGGTCTTGATGGGTTTCAGCCAAGCTCACCAGATATCATTTAAGAGTTATAAATAGATCGCAGAGTGCTTCATTCTTGTACCTTCAGGCATCTAAGTCTAATTTATACTTTGCTCCTGTTCTTAGGCGTTCCCCATATTTGTATGATATAACAATCATGCTGATCATGGCCAGCGATACACCCGCACCAACCCTGGCCTATGGCATGAAACATCTTGGGGCCAGCAAGAGGCAAAAGCGCACCTCCAACACTCCTAAGCACTGTATTTGCCGCAGTGGCACTAGCAGCATAAGTAGGGAATGCGTCAACCAAGTAAGTGCTCACAGATGGAAACACAGTGATCATTCCAAAGCCAATCATGAATGTGCCGATAACAGGTACAAACCAAAAGACTCCATACTCGGTCGTCCATCCATAGACCAACAGACCAACAGGGATTATTGCACTGCACGGTATCATGAGAGGGAGGCGGTACTCGGGCTTGAGTTCGCCGCCTCGCGCCATTCTTCGCAGAATTGGATCTGAGACCATGCCGAAGAGTATAAGGCCGACAATTTGACCGAATCCGAAGCCTAGATAGATAAGACCGACGTTTGTGACTATGCCATATTTCGTTATGAAGGTTTCGGAGACCGTCGTGAATAGAAGATATAGAGTTCCGTAGGCGATCGCGGTCAGGAACGAGAGACCGAAGATAATCGGGGACAAGAAAAGCATCTTCAATGGGCGGGCCAGGCTTCTCTTGATGAGTTGTCGGTGCGGTGTGGCGGGCGGCAATTCTTCGGTGTGACGCTCTATTTGTAGTGCCTTAAGCTTCTTTCTCTGAAGAGTTGGAGGATGAGTCTCTTTCTGGATGAAGGCGCAGACAACAAGCACAGCTCCAGTCTGTAACAGCATATCAGTACAACCAGGACATTGAAACATCATGAACGGAGATACCCACCATTATAATAAGCAGCCAAAAGTTCCATCTCCATCCCAGACCTCTCGAGACATACGCACCAACAGCAGGCCCAAGACTCGGACCCAGCAAAACAGGCATATTCCAGATAGCCTTCAATTCCTTTTTAGCTCTCTGGATCGAGGATGTAGCCTCGTCGACTGCGATGTAAAGCTGGGAGACTTCGGCTCCAGGCACGGAGGCAGAGTTGGTGATGTCGAAGCTCACGTCCGAGGATGTGACGTTCAGCTTGTCGTATGTAAACGTGGTGTAAGATAGACCGTGGCTATTAATGTCATGTTAGTTGTGTCTTGGGCAGAGTCTTGTCTCGTCCCACTCACCCAAACGGATATAGTACGTCTCGATCGACCTTTTCGTAGTACCGATACCCAACGTAGATATCCTCACCATAGATAACACGTCCCCTCTCGCTACCAAAGTTCAAAAAGGTCGGCGTGTCTTGTATGCGGCGCGGAAACGAAAGCGGAAGTTTTCCACTCGGGCATGTTGCTCCGAACAGAACATCAGCAATGCCGTTTCCGGTCTCACTGCCAGCTAACCAAGCATGCACGTGAGTCTTTGCACTCTCAGCCCAGAGCATGCTGAACGGCGTACCGCTCTGCGTGATAACGATTGTGTCTGGAACGGCAGCCAAGACGGCCGACGCAAGCTGAGGAAGTGATCCAGGAAGATCCATATGAGCTCTGTCAAAACCCTCAGATTCTTGGTCCCTCGTCATCCCAACGCACAGAATGGTCACATCTGACTGGAGCGCTGCGGAGACGGCTTTCTGGATCCCGATTTCAGGGTCAACTGCACTCGCTAGACCAACTCTCCCTGCGCCACCGCCAAAATTGACCACGCCTGGTTTAACGAGTTTGGAAGATGGTGCGATCTCATACTCGATGGTGATGCGGTACTTCTGGCCCCGCACAAGGTGCATCTGAGCCTTTTCCTCAATGGTTCCCTTACCAAAGAAGAATGTGTCGCTTTGCTGGACAAGACTATTGTCGATCAATAGCTAGCTGACCATCGACATAGAGTCGTGCAGAGCCATAGACCGCGAGGCCGAACTCAAACAATCCTGTTTCCTGGATGACGAGATCGCCTTCTACAGATGCGTAGAAATGGTTCTCCAGCTTTGGATGCGAATAGCCCATTAGTAGCCTTGAGGAAACAGGCAGATGGCTCTCGTTTTTGATCTCGCGGTCGGGTACACTGGGTCCCTGACTGTAGAAGCGCATTCGCATACCCGGTGCTCCCTCCGGCGTGGTGATCATATCGCCCTGTAGGAGGGGGTTCCACCCATTTGCTGACGCTCCAACCTCGTACCGGACTTCAACATCAGGCGGTAGTTGGGCTACGATCCCCTCGTAGGGAGAAACAGTGTAGTAAGGCTGGAGATGGGCAGAGCCGCCTCCACAGAACGAAGTGGTCTTCATGTTTGGTCCGATCAAAGCAATGCTTTTGAAAGGTCGCTTGAGAGGAAGTTGGCCACCTTCATTCTTTAGGAGGACAACACTGTCGCCTGCAAGCTTTCGGTTGAGCTGCCTGTCTTCGGGAAAATCACGTCCACCTTCTTCTGCAGCAACAGGAGCCTTTGTGCATCTTTGGACGAACTCGAGGACATTTCGGGCTCGAATGTCTATCGTTGATCGAGATACCTTTCGGGTTGACACGGCAAGGTCGAGAAGCTGACCGCGTTGCCTCGTTGGTCCTGGTATCTCGAGATCCAGTCCTGCATTGACGGCTTCGGTGGTAGAATAAGTTCCGAACCTGCAACGAGAAATGAATGTTAGAATTAGCTGTGTCTGGAGGAGGCGGATTTGCGGCATACCAATCGCTCATGATCAAACCCTTCCACTGCCACTCTTCGCGGAGCAAAGCGTCAAGAAAGTCTCTGTTTTCTGAAACATGTTTTCCATTGACTTTGTTGTAACAAGCCATGACACCGCCCGGCGCCGCATCACTAAGCGCAATCTGGAAAGGAAGCATATGAATCTCCCTCAGCGCGCGCTCACTGGCAACAACATTGACGCCAACCCTCTCATGTTCCTGGTCATTCGCAAGCCAGTGCTTAATGACCGACACTACACCCGTAGACTGTACGCCTTTGATGTAAGCAGCAGCTAGTTTGCCCGTTGCATAAGGATCCTCTGCCATTGACTAAAAGCCACGGCCGCCGAGGGGAGAGCGCTGGATGCACACTGTAGGACCGAGCCAGCAATGCGCGCCTTTCGCTATGCCCTCGTCACCTATAAGTGTGCCTGCTTTGTATAGGAGGTCCTGGTCCCAGGTGGCTGCTAGACCGGTACCGCAGGGCAAACAGGCTGCAGGCACGCCGTCGACGAATTTGGTTCCTCGCACGCCATTTGGCCCGTCGCTGACACGCACGGATGGAACGTTGAATGCTGGGAGGGGGTTCGTGTGCCAAAAGTCTCGGCCTGGAGAAAATACGAGCCAAGTTAGAGTCGTCTAGGGCCGGGGAAGGGAATGCTTGAGTGTCACTCACCAGAGAGCAGAGATATCTTTTCAGAGACAGATGCATTTTGGAGGACATACTCAACACTAAAACAGCTGGGCACGTCATCATGGGTCGTTCGTTTCAAAACCATGGTTGTATAAAGATGTGCGTGTTGGGACGATAGAATAACTCAAGGATACACAATGCCTAAAACGGGCTAAGGCGGTTAGATACCCAACTTATATATCTTGTGAAGGATAAACATTAATGGAGTAATGCGTGTAAGACCTCAGGGATGACCCGATGGAGTCAGTCAGTGGGGGGTGACCGGGGAGTCTCCCCGACCAGCCAAGAGACATGATTAACCGAGGAACGACCCTCGCACTACCCCTTCTAACAGCTGCTTCAAGTTAGAACAGCCCCCATTCGGCTCATCAAGATACTGCTGTACCGACGCTGCACCCCGCGCGACGCAGTCCTTCCAAGTCTCAGGCAGCGTCACACTCTGCACAAGACTAAATGCTTCATCTTCTTCTGCCAGGCGCTGCGCCTTGTCAACAGCTGCCAAGATCAACGCAGCGCTTGTCGCCACTCGAATACCATACCAAGTCCCCTGATGCCGATGCCCCGCGACCTGATCGAGTTTCAAGATGCAGAAGCGAACACACTGCGATGCGTACGAGCTGATTATACCATGTAGCGAGGCTACCATCTCATCTGCCAAATGGTCCACGCAGAGTCTTACGAAAGGTCGTGAGACTAACTCACAGAGGGATATGTACCTATGCCGCAGGATAAAGACCATGGGGTCGGCAACAGCATCCGCCGTGTAGCCTTGAGGAGTGTCGAAGGGAAGATGGGCGGGAGTGATGAATGCCAGTCTGATATCTGCGACTGCATCATCTCGGCCTGAGAAATCATGCGACGCACGTGTCTCTCACTCGGAGCTAGGTTAGGCTACCTTAGTGAGTCTAGATCATTCTGTAGTCTCCCCGCAGCTGAACAGCCCCCAGGTGCAAGAAGACTTCTGATATTAAACTGAGGTGAAAAAAATGCGTAGTCAAGATTTTCTAAATCTATACTAAACTCCGCTAAACTCATCTAAGTTTAACTAAGAAGTTTTGTCACCTAGGATAGAGGTCCTAAGTTTTATTGTATTGGCTTGACTGCGACCCCTCCAACTAAGCTTGAATTACCTTATGTTAGATCTGCGGGCTGCAACTCGGACCAATCCCCAGATTCTCGGACATCTAGTCTGAACCCCATGGGGGCCCCTGGTGAATCCAATCATGACCGGGCCTCACCATCAAATTCTGCTCACCCACGCACGAGGCATCGTGGGCGTCTGAAACCGACAACAACACCATTCCAACATAAACGCTTCGTGTCCGAATCACTATAAGTATACGACGATCATCTTGCCATTTCTTAGGAATACAATAAGCCAGCACAATTATCACTGCCTCCTGTATCGCCATACTGATTCATCATGGGCTGTTTCACGAAGAAAACGGACAACAAAGACACCGCAGAGAATACTGTCGGGCCTGAGCTCTTGAAGGTACCATCTCATTCCCTCTCCAACGTAACAAGTACTGACCGGCCCAAGGTTCTTCCCCAGACAGAGCTTCCCTGGTATCGAACAAAGCATCTCCTTCTTCTTAACCTGATGCTTCTTGTCCCCCTGCTCAGTTCCTCCGCTGTAGGATACGACGGTAAGTTTTCTAGCCACTCATACATACAGCAACTAACATGATAACAGGGTCTATGATGAACGGTCTCCAGACACTCCCGCAGTGGCGAAACTTCTTCAACCACCCGCCTCCTCCCCTCCTCGGCGCCATCAACGCAGTCTACCCCGTCTGCAAGATTCTCGGGTTGGTTCCAGCAAGTACCATCTCAGACAAATTTGGCCGAAAGGTGCCCATCTATATTGGCCTCGTATCGCTTGTGATCGGGCCCGCTATCCAAGCAGCGTCAATCAATCTTCCCATGTTCATCGTGTCAAGGGGTCTTATAGGCTTTGCCACTGTCTTTCCTCAGGTCGCGTGCCCGATTCTCGTTTCCGAGCTATCCTATCCTACACATCGGGGCAAGATGACTGCGCTGTACAATACCTTCTTCTACTTTAGTGCTATCGCGGCTGCTTGGATCACCTATGGAACTTTCAAGATGCAATCCACTTGGGCTTGGCGATGTCCCTCGGCTCTGCAGGCAGCTATTCCGTTTCTTCAGCTTATGTTTATCTACTGGGTTCCAGAATCTGCTCGGTAAGTATCAGCTCAGAGCGATCTACAGGTGACTAACAAATTTATGCTACAGATGGCTCATTGCGAATGGTAAGAAAGACCAAGCCATCGCGATTTTTACCAAATTCCATGCAGGCGGACAGGAAAACTCTCCACTTGTTGCGTTCGAGATCACCGAGATCGAGAATGCTCTGGCGCTTGAAAGAAGTCATGAGTCATCAGCCTCGTGGAAGATGCTCATCAAGACGGCCCCTATGCGGAGACGTACTATTATTGCAGCCATCCTGGGCTTTTTCAGTCAGTGGAACGGCATTGGCGTTGTCACATATTACTTGTCTCTGGTCCTCGATACCATCGGTATCACGGAAGCCAAACACCAAGTTTTGATCAACGGCTTGCTTCAGCTCTTTAACTTTGCCGCCGCTGTCTTTGCTGGTGCTTTGATGGTTGACAGGTTCGGGCGGCGAAGGCTGTTCCTGGTTGCTACGTCAGGGCTTTGCCTCAGCTATGTAGCTTGGACAGCACTCACGAGCTATTTCATCAGGAGCCACGACGAATCAACTGGTCGAATTGTGGTCGCTTGTATGTAATTAATAGCAGCCAGAACTCTTACCTATCTCCTATTATATACACTGGCTAGTCTAAGTTCGGGTTGTCAAATCATGGGTGCCTTAATAGCTAAGTATCATAAGGCCATGCCAGACAAGTATCGCGCGCGTTTTATCAGAGGGCCACGTCTACACTACGGTGCTGGTGGGTGGTGCACCTGAAAAATGCATTTCGGATGACATACTCAACGTCAAAATCGCTGTCAACGTCATCAGAGGTAAGCTTCTGTAGAGCCATAGTTGTATCAAAGTCCGTCTTATGACAATAATACGTGAGGGGATAAATAATGTCCAAAGCGGGCTAAGGGAATAAGCAAACGTGTATATTGTGCGGAGGATAAACAGTACCAGACAGACTCATGCAAGACTTTAAGATGACCGTGACGGAGTCAGCGGCTATGTGGAGAGCTGTCAGCGAGCTTCCCCCACCAGCAACCGTAGCGTCCTGGATCTCCTTTCATAAATAATCTTGGGAGTAATAACGGTGAAGCGCAAGATGTGTAGCCAAAACCGCTGTTCGCTTCGATGGGGCTCCAGCAGGTTGAGGCGAAAGGTAGAGAACGACAGCAACATTGATATAGACTATGTGATCTAGCGACTTGGCACATCGACAGATTCAAATTCTTGAGCATCCAGATAGATATGTCCAGTGAAAGACATCCAAGTATCTCCAATCTTATGGGTATGTAACTTGAACTCAATAAACTCAAAGATTTTGATGAGTGAAACTCATCTGGAAGCCTCATTGGGCGCACGAAACATGGTTATCCAATATCAATTTATGCATCTAACCACTAGAGCAGTTCTCAGCTAAACACTATAGGAAAGATGGAGTGCGCCGCAATGCCCTGAGTTTCAAGTACTCGTTGTATCTTATCATGGTATCAGTGGATATTCTGTATGAATATGGTAGCAAGCTTACTTGTAAAATGTGTCCTTCTGTGCATAGAGCTGTATTTCCTCGTAGGCGAGCAACCGTTGGCATGTTTGAGACGGGCAACGGATGATGTCGCAGGTGTTCTTGTCTAGTTGCTCCAACTGGGATGCAATATGTCTTTGTAAGCAAGGCGTGCAGAATTCGATTGTATGCTTGCACCTTGCACGCAATATCTTGGGGAATCGTGAGATCTTCCATACCCAATCACCATCGAATTCAATACAGACTTCTATCCATTCATCGACAGCGTCATAGGAGACATTGTAGATTGACTCAGTACAGATGACACACTCGATGGGAGTCTCCTCAACCCGAAGTAATTGTGTAAAGATAGGGACCTGTAATGACTTCCCACCTTGATCGATGTTATATAGTTCAACATGGTTGAAGTCTTGCTTCAGCGGCGATCCAACCTTGCTTCGAGTTGGGCACCTATATCTCTGGTCAAAGGGCGAATGCATCAAGCCATATTTTATCATCTTGAAATGCAGGCGTGCTGCCACCTTTCTGGCTTTTGATGTGAGTCGAGGTTCGACAAAATAAAGGGCTTGCATTAGCTGAAGAATCGTGTCATAACTGTCATGGATTAGTTATTTTGTTGTTCCCAAACCATTGACTGTAGCTTACATTCTGATCACCGAGAACTCGGCCTTTTCATTCCCTAGGTACTGTAATACCTGTAGTAAAGAGCTGCGATCATTTATGTGAAGCCCTGCAGGAGAGCAGCCACAAGGACAAGGCAAGCATATCTCCAGTCCTTGGGTTTTCCACCAAGTCTCTCTTAATCGTGCTAGAGACGAGAAAATTGATTTAAGAAAGCAGGCGGAACAGACAGGATTTTCGCATCCCAACCTGAGGTCCCTCTCGATGAATTCGTTAAGAGGCCTAGGCTTGGACAAGCCAACAGCTTGCCTGAACCTGACTTCTTGACACACACAGCAGGTGACGAGTGTGACCGACTGCAGAGCTTCGGTACCGAGCCAGTCTTCGAATTTGGTGTAAATATATAGAGCTTCATCGGCACTCATCGACCTATCGAGGGTCCCTTTGAGGTCCTTAGCCATTTGACTTGGAACAGGCATGGAAGAAGAAGAGTCTTTTCCAGTTGAAAGCGGCGAGTTCAGTAATTTGTTTACTATGATGGATCTGGGAGTGGTCGTTAACATCTTCAGCTGCTTCAGCTGCAAAACCTGACTTTGAAGCTTATTAACAGCATGCGCCATAGTCTTCGTGTCATTAAGAGCCTTTTGTAATTGTTGATTTGAAGTTAAGACGTTTGATCGTAGAGAGATTGATTCGTTCATCCTATCGTAATACCTGGAAATCAGTAGCTTATTCTGACCAATTAGATTACTGACAGTTTCTTGAAGGTTTTCAATTTGTTTTTCTTGGCTGCAGAAAATGGCGGCCATATCTGCGGAGCGTTCCTCGAAGACTTGATTATTGAACTCCGAAATTGTTGCATTCAGTGGGCTTTTTGAGATTGATTGCGTTCGGAGGCGTGTTTTGTCTTGTGTTTCGAGGCATTCTTGAGGTTGTTGCTGCACTTGAGGATGTTGTTGATCCATGAAGGGCTCACAGCGAATATGTCGTATTTTGGATAATAGCGAATATGTCCAAGTTGTGAGCTAGATGTATTATTTACAGTTGAGACTTGTGGTTGAGAGCGTATTCCACCACATTGAATGTAGTAAATATACACAACTGGACTTGGTGTTAGATAAGGATGAAGCCGGAAACAGGAAGGCATGCTCTTCGGTTGGAAGGTCAACAACAAGGAAGATCAAATACCATCATTTAAATCCTGTTATGAACTACCAGGGTTTTGGCGACTTTATTACGTCATGTCTCAGACTTGGTGCTTTAGAAGCTGAGTACTAACAAGGGTCAGTCTAACTAATGTCTAGAAGTGGGATGAAACAGTTGTACTCAGAGCGGCACAAACTGCTTGTGGTTGGTCTCTCTTCACAATGTCTGTTATAAGAGCAACAATACATTCTTTGCCTCAATTAAAGAAGCCGAATAGTGCCCGTTTTGCTATGTTTATGAATCATCCACGTATCAATACTTAATGGGTTTGCCTTCTAACGACAGAGGCTGCTCTTCTAAAAACAAGTAATAAGGTTTATGTTAGGAATGGGGTTTCCGTGTTTATTAAAACTACGCTAGACTAAAATGGATGTCTTCAAAGTTCTTGTCTCTCTTTAGGTCCACGCCGAGAAGCGTGGCTGGCTTGCTGATACTATTACTCTGTTACATGTTGTGAGAGCGTCAGTAGCATACGACAGCACTGACAAGTTCCAGTCGGCTTTTATCTTCAAGTCTGGTGGCCACAACCTGGTTCAAGATGTCGACTACCTATTACCTCAGCATTTTCTGCTTACTTTCAAACCGCAATCTTCTCTTTTCCCCTCACTCGACCCTGCAACTAATCAAATTCTTGAACAATCGTTCCGGCCATGTTGTCCCAGTAACAGGAAAGATTTCATCGCCGTGGGCCAGAAGCCAGGCCAGCGTCAGCTGCGAGGCAGTGATTCCTTTAGCATTGGCAATGTATCGAATTCTTGTCCACAAGGGCGAAGTATTTGGGATAATTCTCTTCGCTGAACCTGGGCAGATATGAGCGAAAGTCTCCGGGGACACAGTCGGCGGGCGAACGAAGTGTTCCGCATAAGATACTGCGGCCGAGTGGCGACTGGCGAGTATGTGACAACAGTGACGCCCAACTCACCCGCCGTAAGAGCGGCTTGAACTACGGCGACTCGATCTCTAGGGAGAATGGCGAGTATTCTATTGCACTATGGTGATGGGGTGGAAGGCGTGAATGCGGCGGGGAGATATGGCACTGCACTCGGAAAGTCGGTTGCGTAATCGGGATTCTTAACTTCATGACAGTCTATCCGGGTACAAGTGACAAGGTTATGTGGTTGATCTAGGCTTCAGCCCCAACGCACAAAAAAGAGAGGCAATACAATCTTGGCTCTTGATAGTGGCTAGGCCCTGGCTTTTGGCTGAAGAACTGGATATCCCGATGACGGTATAGAAAGAGCCTGCGTGCGGCCTTCCTTTGCAGGTAGACGGGCTGGTGGCGTTTGGCGGCAAGATTAATTGGAATTTCGGATTAATTAGGGTTGAGTTTTCAGTTAAGTAAAGCCTAATTAAATGAGTCATAAATGGGCTAAACAGAAAACCATCAGGGTAGCAAACAAAGAATATTTAAGTAAGAACCCTTAAGGACATTTAGAGTATTTAATTCAATTATCCAAATGAGCCGACCAAGTTCAGAATCTCGTGTTCAATTCACAGTTCAATATGTTTCAAGCACATGTCAAGTCAACATCGCGAGCTCTCATCAACTCGCAGCGCTCTTCAAGATTGAGCCTCAATCTACGCCACTTCTGTACTTCTCCATCTCACTCCCAGCGCCTCGCAGTTCAGATCTCCGCCCAAGGAAGCGGTACCATCCAAAAGATCTCTGTCAAAGACAAGCCGTACACGTTCTCAACCGATGCCCCCAAGGTCATCGGCGGCGAGGAATCACATCCCTCGCCTATTGCCTACACCCTTGCCAGCCTCAGCTCGTGCAACCAAGTCACAGGCACCCTTGTAGCCAAGGATCACGGGCTCACGCTGGGCAAATGGCACGTCTCGGTCGAGGGCCAACTCCCCACTGCGGTGTTTGTTGGCGGCGAACAGGGGAACCCGAATTGGGAGAGCGTGGAGTTGGAGGTTTCTGTACAGACCAGTGCAGACGATGCTGCGTTCAATCGTTTTATCGCCGAGGTTGAACGACGATGCCCTATCGCGCAGCTATTTAAACGCAGTGGTGTCGCGTACAAGAGCAAGTGGATCAACGAGCCGCTATGAGGGTCAATGTGTCCTGTCTGTACTAAGAAACCTTCTCCATGAAACGCGGGAGAAGAAGCATGGGGATGACGAATAGTGTCCTTTAGATAGAGGCATTACCTTTGTGCCGTTGGGGCTGAAGCCTCTCTCAACCTCCCAACCTTAGCACAGATAGAAGCATGGACTGAGGGGTCACGACAGGTCATGGAACCGTGATATTACGCATAGAGCCAATAGATATGTAGGTTAACTTTCATGACATAGAATGGATTTGTCGGCATGGATGAAATGGATCGATTACACGTGATACCCGACAATATCAGAGTCATCGCTATTGCGCTCTGCCTCAGTGCGAGACGTCAGCCCGCGTGTACCGCCTAGGCATAGCATTCACGAGTTATTACACCAATGAGCGTTTAAATGTTAATTATCATCGGCAATCATTATGACCGGCCTTCTTCTTTTGCTTGCCAATCTTCCAATCTCAGTCTGGCACAGCCACATGAACCATTGAACCCCCTTGCTGGGGCCTCTCTCAATTACCGGCCCCACAATGCGGGAGCCTTCACCCACATCGCGGCGTCTATATCAAACTGCCGCGCAATTAGGCCGCGTCTTTTTCACCAAACAGACGCAAAGATCTTCACGGCAGTAGTAAGTAGACCGCAACATGTAGCAGCCGCAGTGGACTGGATCGGGAACCCCAGTTGTCTTGGCAGAATAAATACCCCATTGATTCCATAGAATATTCCCCATCATCCCTCAAAGCTCCCGAGTCAGCCCAAAATGTTGCCAAGAACTCTATTTCCTCTTCTCGCCGCGTCAACTGTTGCCGAAGTGCATTACCTCTTTTCTGGTTTCTTTTCTGGCTCTACAATTGCCGGTATTGAGTTTGATGATGAGGCCTTGTCCTTAAACTTGGTGAAGAACATATCAGCCGTATCTGATGATGGGTCGAAGTGGATAGCACTTGATGTAGGTACCGCCTAGATATCACCGATCTGGGATCTAATTAGGATTTTAGGCTCACAAACAAAACCTATATGTTGGCACCACTGGTTACTTGCAGAGCTACAAGATCGCCAAGGATCTGGGATTGACTTATAAGAGCAACGTCAGCTTGTCCTCGGACTGTAAGCGCTCTTTCATGATACACTTGTACAGGGACCATCCTCTGACTATCTTTATTCAGGTAACAACGCAAACTTCATCACCGCATCGTCCAAGTCTCTTTTCACCGTATTCGGAACACCCTACGGAGGCGGCTGTCCAACAGTCGCCATATCTGTTGACAAGACCGGCACTCTCCAGAAGAGCTTCGCAAATGCGACTTACAACTCCAAAGGCGGCGTTCACGGAACTTCACTGAGCCCCAAGAATGACTTTCTGTACTCTGCCGATGACATGGGGAATGCAGTCTGGGTCCACTCTTATGACCGCGAAAATGGCAAGGTAGAAGAGGTGCAGTATCTTGCTGCCGAAGAGGGATCAAACCCGAGACATTTGACTGATCACCCCAATGGAAAATGGGTATATGTTGTTTATGAAGAGGCGAATTCCATTGCGGCATATAAGCGGGACACGAAGACTGGAAAACTCGAGTTTCGCAACGAGACGTACAGCTTGCTTCCTTCAGGTAGGACTTTGAGCTTTTCCCTTATTTCTATTTGAGCTGACTATTTCTTCAAGATTCACCAACTCTTCTTCTTACTGGGCTGACGAAGTCCTGCTCTTCACTTCTGCCGAAGGGTCATCCCCCAAATACCTGCTCGCCGCCACGAGGTCTCGCAAGACTGGGGTTCCCGGATATGTCTCTGCGTTCAGTCTGGATGCTAAGACTGGAGGTATCAAAGAGCAGATGTTTCTGCAAGAGACCACCAACAGCGGAGGATCTGCCAATGCCGTTTCGCCAGCTTCTTTCAGTGAGGATTTCTTTGCTATTACTGATAGTGGTTCAAACTTCATCGAAATTTGGAAGATCAAAGACAAGAGTGCGTCGGCAGTTGCCCACCTAGATCTTGAGAATGGGCCGGCCAATGTTGTATGGTATAGCTAAATGGGACGGAGATATAGATCTGGTGCTGAACAGATTGCTCTTTTCACCTGGGAATTAGCTAACACACTCTAATCCTGCTGAATCTTCTTTCAGCCAGCCTCAAGATCCATTTCAGAATAGCTGAAAGTCTTTGTATTACCCTTTCGACCTACGTAAAACTTCTATGCAAGATGAGTCTCAATTCAGCCAAGCCCCCGCATAATGGTTGGAATGTGTGGAATCTCGATCGTACCGTTTCAGTGAGATAGAAGCACGGTATTTCAGCTACGTCCTCCTCGCATGACAGTGGCTTGCTGAATTCCCCAAACGTGAGCTGGAAGGCTGAATTGAGCATGAAAACATATCTCAAATTGCCTTTTACTTACATCACACGTGTGAAGCCAAATCAATTGGCTACATCGGAGCTCATGCGATGGGTCTGGGCTGCAGCTGACAAACGCCTCGTCTCTGTATTTGTCAATAATCTCCGGCGATGAAGGAGCAGCTGCAACAAGAAAGCCGAAACTCGTAAAATGAGCACGAAGGAGTAAACAAAACTCAACTTTTTTACTCAATGATACTACGAGGATGAATGTGATAAAAGACCGTTCCTATCCGCCGCAGATACAGTGTTCTCATTACTTCGCCAGTCCCAGACATTTTTCTCTACCCTTTTTCATTAATCTACGACACCTCCAGTCTCCGTTGACATGCCCCACGCTAGCGGCCCCGGTGTAGAAGAGCCTATTGCCCCCGATGAATTTGTCAAGCTCATTCTTTGATTCGACGGTACCGGCAATACCTTCAGCGGCACCAACGCTGACACCAACGTGGTCAAGATTCTCTGCAAGCTTGACCGGAATCACAAGAATCAGTTCCATTATTATCAAAGTATATGACCTATCTCACTGGTGTTGACTCCGCTGACGAGTTGTAAAGCTGGTATCGGGACATATGATGTGAACGAAAACTCTGTCCATAAGACACCAATTGGCGAAGTGCGCAGCAGGGTTTCCGAGGCAATTGACTCGGGCTTCGGTACCACTTTCGATGCCCACATTATGGCAGGGTATCGTTTCCTAATGCGATACTATGTAAGTGTCATTCAATCAGCATATTGTCATGGCATACTAATAGAGTTTCAAAGTAAGCCAAGATTTACATCTTTGGATTCAGCCGCGGCGCATTTACCGCCAAATACCTGTCACGCATGGTAATGAGGTCGGACTTCTTTGCAAGGGTAACGAGGAAACGGTTCCTTTCGCATACCGACTCTACCAACGCTCGCTTCAGTGCAAGAGTGACGATCGCACTAAAGCCATGGGATATTGCGCCCGCAACAGTCCCTCTGATACAGTGTGAATGGAGTCTTATTAGCTGCCTGCAGTTATCTAGGGTTAGTCCCTCTGATACGAAAGCCCCCGAGTCTCAGACTACTGGATCCAGACGGTCCGAAACAGCTCCGCTCAATGGAGACGGTGGATCTTCGTGTTCATCAACTGACCATGAAGAAGACAGTGATGGGCCAGTTGAGGATATCTATCTGGCTGGTAACCCCGTCATTACACCAAGTGCCAAAGGAATTGCAGCCGAAAAGGAGGTTCAGGCTTTCAGTGACACCTTCTGTCGAGACGAAGGCGGCGGGAACATCAAAGTCTTCTTCCTTGGTCTCTGGGATTGCGTCAACTCTGTGGCCATGGTTGAACGAAGTGCGCCTGCCCCAGTAGAAATAACAGGAACGGCGCACCATGTCCGTCACGCTGTGGCTGTCGACGAGCGCCGGGTCAAGTTCAAGCCTGCCCTCCTAGCTCAAGACATCAAGACCGTGGTCAAGGCTGCCGAGACATCCAAGACCGGGGACAAACAGAACAAAGCCGTGATTGACGGTAACAATAAAGGGAAAAAAGAAGAAGAAGATATCAGGGAGGTTTGGTTTCCTGGCAATCACGGTGACGTTGGCGGAGGATGGCCTGCTATACCAACAGGTTTGGAAGTCTGGCGGCTCTGGAAGTACATTTTCAGCGGAACCAAGGTTGATAACTTGGGCGAGCCGCTCAAGGATGAGAACTTGCAGATGAGCGACATGGCCCTTGAATGGATGATCCGCGAGGTTGACATTTGTCGGCAAACAACACCCTCGTTACCAGGTTCACTGGAGCGATACTCTTGATACTTTCAAGAAAAGTATGAATGTGGCTGAAGCCGTCAAGGAACGCATCACCAATGGATTCATGCACAACACACTCAGGTTCGGCTACGGCTCATCTTTTCTCAAGGTCTTTATGTGGAACCTGATTAGTATGTAACCCTCCAACCCATCAACACCATTACTGACTACAAAACCAGAGACGCTCCCTGGTATTCCTCGCTGGGAACTCAACGACTGAAAAGACGTGAAGAAAAGAGGATAGGAGCTCTACAGGGGCATGCCCAATTTGTCTGCTCCTCGTGATATACCCCGAGGAGCCGTGCTCCATAATTCGCTCAAGGAGCGGCTCGACAAGGTCGATAGCTACAAGCCCCTCAACAACCACGGTTCAGGTGGCGATGCTTGCCTGTGGACTGTGAAGGATAAGAAGGTCGCCGTCGACATGAGAGAGGTGACGTACCATCGTTGCGGCCCGGATGGTGAGATCAAGGATCCTGACTGGGATGAACGACATAAGATTTAGCAGTTCGAGGATTTTCGTGCTCAGGTTGAACGCGCTAAGCTTAATCGCGCTTGTACTTAATACTTATTTTAAGCCTTTTAGACTTGGGTATATTAAAAAGATTATTACTAGCTTATAACTAATTATAAAATGCTTTAATAAATTAATAAAGCCTATTTACTTTTTATATATTTTTTTATTTTCTTAATACTTATCTTTTTATTAAGAATTATCTAAAATTAAATATATTATTATTTTTATTATTTTTAAACTTAAGAACTTGATTAAATATAAAATACTTAAACGAGGTTTAAAAATAAAATAAAAATAAAATAAAAAGTTAAAATAATAAGCTTCTCTAACTTGTAGCCTAAAAGATTCTACTCTAGCAGGCGCTTTGTGCTAATCAGGACACCAGCAGTGGGTTATATGCTGCAGCCACTGTATGCTTGGACACGTTCCGATTTGCAGTCTAACTGCCGATATCCACCCGGAATAGTTGCTCCGTCTTGGCATTTCTGTTAGTGGCATATTCAAACGAGACATGCCTTATCAGCTGCTAGCCACGTTCCACATTTGTGATATAACCTGCATGTGTTGTTGTGTGACAAGAAGTCGAATCAAGGCTGCCCGAAAACGAGACTTAGTGTTTTACGGATACAATCTTGACCTTTGCCGCAGGCCGCCGTTGACTGCGGCATCGTCACAAACAGGCGGCAGTCGTGTTGATTTTGTACAAACAATTATCCCTCTGGCTCATCAGTCGTCGATGATGTCAAAGTGATTTGAGACAGCCTATCCAGCTCCGTAATCCACTTCGCACCACACAATAAAAGGTACCATTCTATCAAGCCCCTATCACAATTAAGACTTGACTTAATATCACAACGGCCAATGTGATGAGGCTAAATTCTGGCTAGAACCCAACTCTATACCTAGTTAACCACATCAAAATCCTAAACAGTCATACGATTAAGAAGCCACAGAGTTCTGCTCACATCTCATATACGCCGTAGTACAGCACAGCGCTAATCAAGTATGTGTCTGCCGGACCTTTCACCCGCGATACCTCTGTTGGGAGACCATGTGTCCATGTGATAAGTGGTCGCCTGTCGCGCTACACCAAGCGCAACGCATCTGAGAAGCGATTGCTATCCATTTGGTTTCTTCGCTGACCATGCAGATGCAACATTGAACCTGCTTCTGTTGTTGCATGGAAGGGCCATGAATCTTATTGACGTACTTCTCACACATCCTCTGAGCCTAGTTCTTGGCTGCCACCACCCAAAGTACCTTATGTTGACCTCCCGAGCGCCACTGGGTGGGGAAACCATTCAGGATCAGCTCCAACCGTCCCATGCCTGTTAGACATCACTACTGGGGACCCAATAAAACAGTACAGGGTCAGCCGATTTCACGGCCCAACCCAAACAGTGGCTGGCTGAAGTGAGTGCATTAAGAAGTCCTCTTGTATGCAGCTGAGTCAATATCCAGCGCTGTCTGTAAAATGTCTCACAACTTCTCAGCCATGAACAAATGAGTTGTGAAATTGAATATTGATCAACAAATTGGCTGAGGATAATGCTTACACCTCCGTAGACTCATGTGAGACTTCTACTTTCGGCCGCTTATTAGACATTTATTAAACAGAAAGTTCTTATTGGAAACCATGCGTATATGGGGCAATCTTGGCTCTATATCAAAGTGACGGACGACGTATAAGCCCTTTGGTTCGTGGTTGAAGACCTCCAGAACTAGGCAGTCTGCTAAATCGTAGAATAGTCTGAGGAGATTTCTTTACCAAAGGCCGCATTGGGTATAGTTACCGATAGTTTTAAGACATACATGTCTTGTGGCTAGCTGACTCCAGATAACGAGTCAAAGATAAAATTGTGGATCAGTTACCCAAAAATATCTCAGGGAACGTTCTGGCCTGGTCCACGAGAACCTTAGGCACCATTCACAGTCACTGCAAGACCTGATCGGAGAAAATAGTCTGGGTTCCGGTGATAAAATGCATCGGACTTGCATGCATTAGCCACAAAACTGTAAGTTGGTCAATTGATATCAAGACATCGGCCAAGAAATACTGTCCTTCTGCCAACTTCTTTACTAACTGTCTTTGGTTTTAACTTATGTCTATTCACCAAAGCCAAACCCGGATGTGAGTAGAGACCACGCCAGTCAGCAATTAAAAGGCTAAGAGGTCACCAAGGTTTCATTCGGCTGGAAGAGGCGAAGGTGATTCGACGCCTTCTTTTTTTTAGGAGGCCTTATCGTCTCTTCAGTTGTTGAGCTAAACAGAATGTGGACTGTCTCATATATCCTTACATATCACAAACCAATATTAGGAAAGCCACACACTGACTGCAATAGTGTCGGAATGCTGTAGAGCTCATGTGGTATGATCGTGCTATCGCATGTGTCTCACCGTGTCCCCTCGAAGTATTTTCTCCTGTTCGAAGCACAGGCTATACGAAAGATTGCACACGGCGAAATCAGGCTATATAAACCTCGACAGTGCCCTCCAAACATAACTCCCATTCTCATCATCTCTAACATCAATCTTAAACAATATCATTCTTATCATCACTACAAACATAATCCATATTCATTATGACTTCTGTTACCTTCACCAACGAGAGCTTTGCCAGGAAGCTTCAATCTCAGACTCTTGGACTATGGCTTCCCCGCGACAAAAAGACAATTCTTCAATGGGTCGGCCAGAAGGTTGAACAACTGGCTACCCAGAACTTGCCTATGAACCCCAATGTACAAGCATTCTCCGACTATGTTGAAGGGAATAACACCTTGAGAAGCCTTGCCCAGCTGATGTTCACTGAGGTTCCCCCTGATTACCACAATGGCACCGATCCTGTTGGGGCCCCTCAGATTCGTGACTTTGCCACGTTTATCCAGGTCTTGAATACCATCATCGTCACGGGTCCTGAGTTCTTTGAGGTAGACGACCCAGATGCGATGGGTTTGATCGGGTTTCCTATCAATGCAGTTCTGGATTGGCCAATGGGTACCAAGTCAGGTTGGGCTTTTTGGTATCTACCAGAGGTCAATCAGAAGTTTCAGCCAATTCTTCATGACTTTGAGACCTTTCTTGCATCTTCTGCCTCGAAAGTGGTTCTCAAAGCCCCCAATGGTTGGCTAGGCCCCAAAGGCCAGGCCATGATCGTTGCGAAGGCCAACCTGGATGGGCTCACGCGTACCTTCACCCAAATCTTCGACTGTCCAGACCCGAGCGATCCTATCTACCTTGGTTTCGAGTCTTGGGATCAGTTCTTCACGCGAACCTTCATGCCAGACCTCCGTCCTGTGGTACAGCCAATGAATACTAGTATTCTTAACAACTCCTGCGAATCTGGTCCCCTGCAGTACAAGAAGAACGTCAAGGCGACCGACTTCTTCTTGCTGAAGGGTCAGCCGTACTCCCTGAACAATATGCTTAACTCCAATGAATCCTATGTAAAGCAGTTCGCAAACGGATCTGTCTATCAAGCCTTCGTCAGCGCCCTCAGCTATCATAGGTGGAATTCGCCAGTCAACGGCAAAGTGGTTGACGTCTTCAATGTCCCTGGCACATACTACAGCGAGAGCCCGTTCCAGGGGTTCCCAAACCCTGATGCCAATGGACCAAACAACTCGCAGCCGTATATATCCTCTGTTGCTACACGTGGTATTATCTATATCCAAGCTGAAGGCCCTATTGGGCTAATGGCTATTGTTTATGTTGGCATGGCTGAGGTTTCCAGCTGCCAGTTCACGGTTACTAAGGGTCAAACTATCTCGAAGGGAGATCAGCTTGGCATGTTCCATTTTGGAGGCAGTACTCACTGCATGGTTTTTAGACCCGGTGTTAAGCTGGTCTTCAATCAACCTCCAGGTGAACCGCAGGATGACGGCACATGGGACTGGAGTGCAAAGAAGAATCTTCCAGTCAACGGCGCACTGGCATTGGTCACAGATGAGCCTTGAGACATTCAAAGAGCCTTTTAAGACTGCAAGTTCTAGGGCTGTCTTCCAGTCCCATGTCAGCTTTTTGTTGATAGTTGCCTGAGAGATACGTTGATTTGGTCGAAGAGGTCAATGAATCATTAGGGTCCGCAAGGATCTTAGACAGGCTAAACAACCATAATCTCCAAACGCGTTGCGGCACATGTATCTAGAAGAACTTTCAAATTCTTATTACCTTATCTTAGTATTAACCGCATAAGAGCTAAGAAGCATTTTTTGGACGATTGACATTCGCATCTGCACGAGAGGTACTAGAGTTCTTAAATGGATTAACTATGCACATTTCTTACTCGTATTCCATAATCTCCGAGTTAGCCGGACTATAAATATATAGATATTGGTAGAGTGAGATAAAGCATACCGATGAAATCGTTCTTATAACCTTGCTTGTTCTGAATCTGCTACCTAGCAGGTTTTGTGACTGGCTGACGCCATACTATATTAACGGAAGTAAAGTTCCATTGCGTATGTAGTTGGAAGGGGGTATATCTGACATACAATAACCTTGTATATGTGACCTTATATCTTTAGCTTTTATGTTACTACTTCCAGTGCCCTATGCTCCTCTGTGCTCAGCCTTGTGTTACTAATAGAGGCGCAGCATGTACGGGGGCAACCTGGCGGACTAGCGGATTAGCGGATTACAATCCCTGCCAGGATTGGGGCGCAGCGTCATAATTGTTCGAGCTTCCCCTCTTCTTCCAGGCAACCACGTCTGTAGTCTACTTCAACTTCTTCATTAGCACCACCGAGACTACCAGTCGCAATCATTAACAAATAATCATTAGGCAAACCCACTTCACACCCGACACAGCAAGATGAGCAGCCGCCGAACTTCAGCTCTTCCAGGGCCCTCGACTCAGCGGCGCCTTCCGCAGAACCCGACTACGAGGCTCCCAACTTACAAAATGTCTGACGCTGACAAACATGGGCATATTTCTCCTTACCATGGGAACCCTGAATCGTCCATCTCAAGGCCTACTTTTTCTCAGGCGCTACCATTCAGGTCTCTACGGCCCGTCCAAGATGGCGAGGGCGCAACCAGTTCCTACTTTGAGCACTCAAACGGCAAGCGAATCAATACTGATCTTGTCTTTACGGCAGCTCTCAAGAAGCAATACCCTGAGCTTGACCTTGTTGTAGTCCCGCAGAACAGTGGCATGGGAACCTCCTGCAATCTACTGGCCTTTGCAGCCGCCGGCTTCGCTACCGTGACTCCAATCCAAGACAAGGGCGACCTGCCATCGTCCCTCGAATGGACGGTTTACTTGCCTCCCGCCCGTCGAATGGATGGCAATAAAGGAGCCTTGGGCGAGGCGCCCATCTTTGGCAAATTCCTATATCAATGGGAAGGTGAAGAATTCATCGTCTATCTAGCCGATGGTCGGGATGGGTCGGAATCCTACCCAACCGTCAAAAACTACTACATTCTGACGGCTGATGTCCACAAAGCGGACCAACTTGTTCTCACCGCCGGTTCATGGGCAAGCGACCTACATGATGAAGTCTGGGTCTTCGATCAAGGCTTTTTTCTTAAAGATCACGAGCTATGGGAGAGCGCGCAGAAGTCAACATGGGACGCAGTCATCCTAGACGAGGATATGAAGAAGTCGCTCATAGATGACCACATCTCCTTCTTCGACTCGAGACAGACATACACAGGTCTCGGCGTGCCATGGAAGCGAGGAATCATATACCACGGCCCTCCTGGGAACGGGAAGACTATCAGCATCAAAGCTACAATGCATATGCTGTCTGATAGAACCCCTTCCATTCCCACCGTCTATGTGCGTAGTCTAGAGTCGTGGATGGGACCGCAAGGCTCTCTTTACATGATCTTTCAGAAGGCTAGGGAGTTTGCGCCCTGCTACTTGGTGTTTGAAGATATTGATTCTCTTGTTACACCCAACGTGAGGAGCTATTTCTTGAACGAGGTCGACGGCCTGAAGCAGAACGATGGCATCTTTATTATCGCCAGTACTAACCACTTGGAACTCCTAGACCCAGGAATCGCAGTAAGTATTTTACCCTTGGCCCAGATCTGCCCGCTAATAACTTAGAAACGTCCATCTCGCTTCGATCGAAAGTATTACTTTCCCGACCCAAACATTGAGCAACGAGAGGCATATTGCCACTTTTGGCAGAAGAAGCTGAAGTCGAATAAAGAAATCGAGTTCCCAGACGAGTTATGCAGGGCCATCGCTGAGATCACGGACAAATTCAGCTTTGCCTACATCCAGGAGGCGTTTGTAGCAACCCTGTTAGCCATCGCTCGGCGGTCAAAGAACAAGCCAGCAGTAGAAGGCTCTACAGAGGCTTGGGTGTTAGTTAGCGATGAGTTTGGGGATTCCTTAGCCTCAGACAAAGGTGACCTAGACAGACTGGAGCTGTGGGTCGAAATCAAAAAGCAAATTAAGATCCTTCGCGAAGGCATGGAAGAAGAAGACTAAAGCATCCTAGGGGCAAAATACAATAGGCAGGAGGGCTGGAAGATAAGTCAGGGTAGAATGTCTTAGAAGAGAATCTATTATTAATATATTTCTTTACATATTATACACTCAGCTCCAACCTACTATGGTTTGTGCTCGCTGCCGCATCCCCAACGTACTGAGATAACGTTGTAGAGATACAGAACTATTAAACTCGGAATTCCACTACTGATAATACCATTTCTCTCGAGAGACTCCACCACTCTCCCATTCCAGACGATAATGGCGCCCATCCGAAGCATCAGACATTCTTGTGGTGAAGTATACTGCATCCGGCTGCCAATCAAATGCAGAGGAGTTCAAACCCACAATGGCTGTCAAGCCTCCCTTGACTACCTTCTGAATGTAGTTCAGTTCCACTACTTCGTAGCCGGGCCCGTTCAGGGAAATGGGCTTCTGGTAGACTGTATTAGAGCCATTCATTTGGTAGTACACGGTGATGTCGAGCTGTTGGCCCTCGCCAAGGCCATTCGCAAATCGCACGTAGACATCTTGAGGCATCGTTGGCTTCTCTGGTCAGTAGGCTATTACTAAAACTTTATGACAAGGCGGAAAGAACAAGGCTCATACTTTCAAGTGGGTTTGCTTTATCTGTAAGACTTGAGTGTGGTTCTGGTGAGCAGAATAAGAAGGGAGGGAATTTGAGCAGATGGTTCTCGTCTTATATAACACTGAATAGATGTATAACAGTTCTGATTCACGTGAATCGACTTATACTTCCAAGTCACAGTAGTATTTTCAGCTAGCCACACATCTGTATACGCCAAGATCTACGAAGTGGAATCTATTTAGGACTTTCAGCCAGCCATGTATCCTTGTACATAAAGTAAGATCAAGCGTGTCACATTTTCAGGCAGCCACATTTTCTAGTTTGAGAAGCATACTCTGCCTGATATTCTTAGCAAGCAGGATCGACACTTAATTCTCAGCTAGCCACAAATCTCGTTCTACGGTAGCGAGATGTTCTCATGGTTGTATGTTGGGCTTAGCTGTTTCATAGTTATAGTACCATATCATAAGATGATGATTGGTCTTGTCCCACTGGTCTAGAGATCCTGACAGGGGATGGCCAAGGCGTACGGGCAGGCATCTAACTATTGTTATACCTGACTGTTACTGAAGGTTCTCTTTGGACTGATACTGGGAAGTAATCTTTATTTAATCTGTAATCTTACACACTAAGTAGGTTATTAGAGAATAAGGATACCCCCAATTTTGATTTGTGAGAAAGGAGTATATTCTTAGTATATTGTTTACCCTACCAGAGTTATGAACTAGGTAGCCTTAGACGTAGGCAGTGCAATAGTTAAATCTACTGTTATTAATACCTGCCTTATCTATTGTAATACATAAAAAAGGGTAAGATATTAACTTTCCGTTTAGCACTTGTCTTGGCATTAATTGACAATCAAATAATAAGGATAAACGAAATATGCAGTTTCCAATAGGGTTACAGTATTAGCCCCGTAAATCAGCCTCTCCAAGTGACTAATAAGTAACAGTGTCCTATTATTGGCCTAAGATTCAATATTGTCAGTTCTACGTTACAGCTGAAATGTAAGCTGCTCACAGCCCACAATGGCCGGGAGCATGTGATGATCCCTTAACTTAGCCGTCTAACGATAATTTTGTCGCAAGCTGCTATCAGTACAAGCTGCAGCTGCAGCGTAGGCCTCCGTACCACGGAGCTGTTCTTATCCCTTGGTGCGAAAGTCTTTGGAGTAGACCGAACAGCTTGCAGCCTTGAGTGGACTGGCTTCTGCTTTCAAACCCGTGACATGAGACGTGCCGAAAGTAATAAAGAGACGGGTCGAGGTGTACCGCGCGAAGTATGGCTTCAAGTTAGACACTCTGGCAAACGTCGCTGGTGTAACGGATACCTTTACCAGTGCTGATACTATGACTGATGACGTTTGGAAGCGAAATATTAACATAAACGTTAACGTCAAAGGCCTAACCCTACTACCTCGATAGCTTCAGCATCTCGTGAAGAATCGCAGACGGGGTTCCATTATCAACGTTAGAAGTAAGTCAGCGACCGGTGGATTATTCGCTAACGTTGCATTTAATGCAAGGAAACATGCCCCAGCAAGTGAAGAGGGAGCTTGATCAGATCCGTCAAGTTATGCTGAGCCAAGCCGTACTCTACGGTTCTTCAACCGAACCGGTCGTGACAGTTCTAGGATAGATATGAGTACGCAGATCCTGACTCAATATCTCTTATTACTTCCTACCAATTGTATAGGCAGATGGGATACTGCTTGCACTAATTTGATCAGAGTGTCATCTTGTGTTGATAGAGCCCAGAGTTGATTCTCACGTCACGCGTGTCACATATTGCTTCCCACAACATCGTCCGCTACAGTAGAACGAAATCTAGCCCTTCCCAAGCTACAAAACATAGGCTCCAACCATCAATTACACAGCGGAAAAAGACAGCAAATAGGTTGACAAGCCATGGACTAGATAACGCAGAAGACGATTATGCCAGGTGGCAGAAGGACTCATTACCTGCGGATAACGTAATTCGGGATTCGCTCGAGTATTGGCATGTACATCGGTTCAAGTACCCTAGGCTGTTTCGAACGTTCGACAGTGGACTTTATGACGGTCTAGTTATAAGCGCTGAGCGTAATAAAGTAGTCTCGGCGGCAGGGCGTATGGTAACTGCTCATCGGAACCAGCTGGAGGTAAGTATCATTGCTATTTGCGAGGTACTGTGGTTATGACTGCCAGTGGGCATTATAACAAATTATAACGTACTTTAATATTATTAAAACTATGTAATTCTAACTCTATATAACTTACTCCTATAGAATAGTATAAGTTGAAGGTCAGGCTACTTCAATATAGATCAGGGCTATTTGCTAAAGCCGTACCTCTATACCTGTGAGTCTTTGTATCAACAAAGTCTCATGCCCATCTATTTCCTAGCCATCCTAGCCGTGGTCTTGGGAGTAGTCCATTTAAGACGGCCGTTGCTATCAATTCGGCATTGCGATGATCTGCTTCGTGCTTGGTCGAAGTAATCGTACAATTCCGTTGCTTGGGCAGGCTGGCTCTGAGAGGCGTCTGGTGGATTCAGGTCATGAGACAGGGGGGTCATGATGGCTTCAGGGGCGCGGGTATTAGTAGTCGCTGGTTGAGGTAGATGATGGGAATGGAAATTCAGGTTGTCAATTGGGGTCGCTTCGTGCTCTCCGACTGAAAGCGTTGGAGGCCATTGGAACAATGTAGCATTAGCACCAGGAGGCGCTGGGGGTTGCATATTAATCAAAGGGTTTGAAGAGGCGGTCCCGGTTGGTACTGGAGACTCAGGCATGTCATCACATTGCCGAGCATGACCGGGGTTTGGCAGGATAGAGTCTGTTTGACGATGTAAACGCCGAAGGAACTCTGCAGAGCCGATCAAGTCCCCATGAGAGTCCCCATCTTCGTTTACTCGACGTTGACTATGGTTCACTACCTCAGCCACCAGCGGCTGCTGTGGAGACGCATTGCCGTCGTTGGTGCCTGAATCTTGCTGGGCACCACCCATCGTCATGGGCACCTCTTGAGGCTCGGTCTTGGGAATGGGGGTCCCGACGGGTGTATCAGGCCATAGCTCACCACCTCCGGTTTCATCATCACTCTCATCATCAATGACAATGATCTCTCGACCGGGGATGTCTGTCGATTGTTCTTGGCGGGGGAATATTTCGGCCGTCGGTCGGTCATCGCTAAGGTTTCCTTGTCCGCCGTCAATATGAGGGACTGAATAGAGAGCGGTCAGTAGGGTCCGCATAGCTCACTCATCATGACTTACCTGCTTGGTCATTACTGCTATTCCTTGATGCAATATAGCCATCCACAATGTCTTTGAACGGGATAGTAGTAACCCTGGGATCGTATAGTTGAAACTCGTGTGCAGCAACCCAATAAACGCGGCATTTCCCCGGAAACACCTCCGCATCAAAATACATAATAGGATATTTCCTCTTCAAGTAGGACTGTCCACCAGGGCGGTAGTGCGGAGCCCATTCGTATGACTCGTCGACATGGTTATATCGATAACAGGATGGGACCTTCTTGATGAGCTCGGTGTCCTTGACAGTGAGCGATAGGTCTTTACCGAGATGTCCCACATTACGCCAAGGCAGAACCAGAATGGCAAAGAACTTCTTTGTGTCACTCCAAAAGGTTGTGTATACCTCTCCAGGCTGGGGATCAATCTCGGTGCGATTCTGGTTACTCCGCGTCGGAAGGCTGTGGGCGACTGGGGGAGCAATACTATTGACGGGCCGACCCATCTGAGAATAAGATGGTCTTCGCGCAGCCTCATTATTCTCAGCAACTTTCTCGTCAGTGCAGTTAAGAACACGAGTTCCGAGAGCGCGGATGGCCCCTTCGTAATTGACAGAAGTCTGGTTATGCTTCTTACCCCGAAGATGTTTCTGGGCACCACGAATGGGATGATTGTTGAAATGCAATCTATGTTTATTACACTCGAGGATATACCAGAACCCGTCATGCTCGACGATGTTATACTTGGGCTCGGCTTGCCCGTTTTGGTAGACTTGGTCAAAGTCAATGGTTCTGTCGGTCAGAGGCCCTTGTGTTACATCCGATCGAACGCGTTTCGTTGGACGGGTCGGACGAGATTCGGGGGATTTGTTGGAGTCGATCGGTCTCTTTTGGGGACCTGACGAGGTATCGTGTTCGATTCTTTGTAGTTCGTTCGCGTGGCCGGTCAGCTCGAATGCGTTTTCGGCGTTGGGAGGGCTAGGTACTGGGTCGTCCGTGCTTGTCGGCTGGGCAAGAGGGCTATGTGTAGGAGCGAAACCCGAGGCAGTTGTGTCGTCGGGTTGGTGGGTATCGACGTCGCCTGGTATAGTGTCTGACTGAGCAGTAGTAGTAGAAAGAGGGTGACCGACCCGGTCGCACCAATTCTTACATAGCTGTTTACCAAGTTCAGGACCAAAAAGGTCTAGATGTTCATTAAACGAGGCAACCTGCTGTTCCCAGAGCCTTTGCTGATATTCGCGCTCCTTTTGTTCCTTAGTATCTTTGTGTAACGCCATAAGCTCTTTGATGCGGTCTCCGCAGCTCATAATCTCGTCGAATTTGTCGAACGAGTTTTGTGACGAGTGTGTTAGGCTATTGAACGAATCTTGGGCCATCTTGATCCTTTCTTGGAACTCTGCCTCTGGTGATTTCACAGGATGAATTTGGGCTGTCCATCGTGCGAAATATTCCTGGATGGCGGGAATTCGTTCCGACGGTTGTGATGCATGGCCCTCCATTTCAGGCGGTCTTGGGGATAGTTCACGCTATGTAGCGCTGGGTTAGCCAGCGACTAGAGGCGATGGATCTGCCGCTTAGTGTCTCGCTCAACAAGACAAGATATCCAACAGCGCATTAGAGGATCAGCGACATGGCAATGGGACAATTGCCAACAGAATCACTTCTCCAACAACAGACGTCAGTAGATGAAAAGAAAGAAAAGAAGAAAAAGGAGAACCTGTGTTTTTTTTTTTTTTTTCAAATGTGACAGCCTGATCCCACCCGTGTCCAATCAAAATAGCAACAGACAAGGATATTGCAGACAGGCCAATAACGGGTCATCTTAACATCCCGGTACCAACAGTTCTTCTACAATGTGGCTTGATAAGAAGAGTTTAGATCTGTTGCCTCTTTGCTTACAGCGTAAAGATGATGGCGGACCATATTATTTGAGCCGCGTCTAAGGCAACCGCGCGACGATAGGCACACACCCTCTTGTCCAGCTGGACAGTTCAATGGCTGATACCAAGCAACGCGTTATGAGTGTACTATAAATATATTTTTCTTTCTAGACTTAAAAGGGCTTGTCGCTAATATCACAAGGAAATAATTATACTAAACTTAATCTATAATATATTCTTCTTTCCTATAGTTTAAAAGTTAAAGCCTAGAGTTATACTAAATTCTAATAGCCTCATTATTATCCTTGTCAGGTTATAGTCTTTATCAGTATGCTAATTACCAACAAGCACTATAATTAAGTTTCGCAAATAATCATCTCCGGCGAAGGCACCTACCTGAACCCAGCTTAACCCGCTAGGCAAACTGTTAAAGTAAGTAACAAGACAACTGGCCTGGAAAAGAGAAGGTTCTTAACCTATTTAATACGTTAGTATTAACAGTGTGGAGAAGCTAAGGAATATATATAAAAGATTTAAATTAGGTTATTAAGATTAGATAAGAAGCCCCGGTCTTGAAAGCTAATGGATTAATTAATAACTTTGGACTTGGGTAAAAAACGGCCATTGCTTGGGATAATTGTAATAAGTAAGAGGTCATTATCGATTTACGCACAGCAAATAGGACGAGTTTAAGTATGGTCTACCTAGGGTCCTAATATCTTTTACAGATACTTGCCTCCTTTTTTTAAAGTTTAAAATTTACTTAGCTTAACTAAATAGTAATTAATTAATAACCAAGTTGTTCTGTTACTAGCTTTAGATATACTAATTAGTTAAGCTTAGGATAATTAGGTAAAAAAACAAAACACCGTGTTTACAGTAAGTATAAAGCTAACAAATTCCTCCCTTCTCTTAGCATAAAGTTAAGGATCTTATTATAATATTTACTGCTATATAGTTACGCCTACCTAGAGGTAATTACTCAAAACAGTCTCTGTCTTAAACCTCAGTTTAAAGCATACAGTACCATTTCTACTTACCTTGTCTGCCATGTTGTCTTCAATCACACCCGTATGCCTTATTCCAAGCCTGTGTCGCTTCTGACGCGGTTGCTTTATTGTTCTTAAGCGGACTAACAGTATCACCAGGGTCGTCGCACTCGCAATCCGAATGTCGATACGGTAATGATAACTTAGTCTCCGTTGGTGACCGTAACGTTTTCTGTAATTACTAACTGCTTCAGTCTGATATTCGCAACACGACGTACGTCAATTTCGTCAGAAGTGTAACACTTGCTTCTGGAACGACCTACCGCTATGTCTTTGCCCCGCCGCTGGACCCCACAAAGCCATACCTCTTGTTTATCCATGGGTTTCCAGAGACCTCATACGAATGGAGTCATCAAATCACATATTTCACCGAACAGGGCTGCGGGGTAATTGTCCCCGACCTTCTAGGTTGTGGAGGAACCGACACTCCAAGAGATTTGGCTCTCTATAGCTTCAACAACATGGCGGCAGATGTTGGCCAGATTCTCGACTGCGAAGGCGTGGAGAAGGTTATCGGGATTTCCCACGATCTGTGAGTTGTCCTGGAATGTATCGTTCTTGGGGCTGACACAATATACAGCGGATCACCTTTGTTGTCGCGCTTCGTAATCAACCAACCTTCTCGATTTATAGCAGTTGCATTCTTAGGTAACGGTTATTTTCCACCCGAAACACGAGTTGATGCGGCAGGAGTCGACTTTATCAACAAAGCAACACTTGCTCGCTTTGGGTATGAAGTCGTTGGCTTCTGGTCGTTTCATAATGAAGAAGACGCGGCGAAGGTTTTTGATCAACATGTGAGTAGAAAGAGATGGTCTACTTCCAGTGCTGACGAATCATAGCTGGAATCATTCAGTACTCTTTGTTTCACTCGAAACACATCTCTTTGGATCGATCATCTTGCACCAACGGGCGCTATGCAACAGTGGCTCATGCAAGACAAGATGGCAACAGATATCTTCGTCAGTCGAGCCAGAATTGAGCAATGGAAAACAATCATTAGGGAGAATGGAGGAATGGAGGGGCCTTTGCGATGGTACAAAGCTATGATTGCAGGTGTTAATAACCCTACCGAAGAAGGTAAGTCAAAAAAACGTCCCCCTACCCAGAATCACATAACCTAATATGACTGCTAGAATTGGAAGGTCCAGGGACTATCTCGCTACCACTCCTACTTGTCTTGGCGGAGAGAGACCCAGTGGCCATCCCATCGATCCAGTTGACTGATACTGTACCTAATGCACCTAATCTCCGAGTTCGCTCAGTTATTGCAGGTCACTTCTTACAGGTCGAAGCCCCTTATGAAATTAACAGGCACCTTGAACTGTTCTTTCAGAATGTTTTAAAGAATTCTATGTCAAAACCTAACCCTATTGCTGTTAGTTTTGAGTATTAATAATGAGTCAGTATGCTTATCTAGACTCCTATAACTAGTTTATATGAATTTATTTAAGCTATTGACAGAGGCTTTTACATAAGACAGTATTACCAGGTTTTGTCCTTTCGACGGAAATCGAACGAGAAGCGGTCCTACCAAGAACAATGCCAAGGTCCTGCAATTTCTCCTTCAGTAGCTCATTGATCACTTACGAGAAGTATATAACTGCAAAGTAGGCTTGGTTGTATGTCAAATAAACACTCAACATTTGTCTCCCACTCCAGAATCTTCTCACTACTGCCACGTTCATCATGAGACCTCTAGTCCTTGCCATATTCGCGTTTGCCTTGGGTGCAAACGCGTATGACAGTTCTACAGCATACGTCGACCTGGCTGACCGGGTTGGTCCTTCGAGCCACACTGCTTCGGCGTTTATCTACGGCATGCCTCTTAACAAAACGAAGAATCAGATTCCAAATCACTTGTAAGAAGATTCAAAACCTCAAGCCTTGAGCTTTCTGACGGGATGCTGATGATTTTAAAGTTTTTCAGATATCGGCATCAAGTATGGCCGTGCTGGCGGTGCTCGGCTTGACAAGCCGTGTCGCGGATGGTCGTTTGGCCCCGATGAGTACAAATGTCGTTTCGAAGCTACCATGATCAATTACAAGCAAACACGAAAGTTTGGGGCCCAGTTCATCATTCTACCTCATGACATTTGGGGCATTGATTATAGGGATAACGTCCCATCTTATCAATTCCCTGGCGATGGACGTAACTGGACCACCTATGACAACTTTCTCAATCAACTAGTCCGTGATCTCAAGTCTCGCAATGCTCTTGATGGTCTTATTTGGGATATCTGGAATGAGCCCGATATTGGTGGCTTCTGGGGGAGATCAATTCAGCAATGGGTAGACTTATATATAAGAACCCATAAGCGACTAAGGTAAGCAAGCGGCGAAGTCAGATGCCTACTAAGAAGATAGACCGTGTTAACCAGAATCTCCATGTTCTAGATCTGACCCTGCCCTGAACAAAGTCCTGATCAGCGGTCCAACTATAGCTGCTTCTCCTGATGTAGCTAATGCATGGTGGAGCACTTGGGGGGCTCAGGTTGGAGGCAGCTCAACCTATCCTGATCAGTATGCTTGGCACTACGAGATGGGGGGCGAGTAAGTACCTCTACTGCTATTACTCAGGAGTCTGACACTAACGTCGCATTTACATAGTTCTAGGGACCCCGACATCAGTAACGCGCTCTTCGAGAATCTGCTCGAAGCATATCAGCTACCATTCCGCCCTGTCAGCATCAACGAATACGCTGTCTTCTCAGAGGAAACACCCTCTGGGTACTCTTGGTGGATCAGTCGATTGGAGCGATATAACTACGCCGGCCTACTGGGACTATGGAATCCACCCTTATACGATAACTTTGCCAACCTCCTGACAAAGTCTCCTGGAGACCCAAAAGACCCCGGCAACACTAACTACGTTGGCGCAGCGGGATTCCCCTTGTATAAGTACTATGCTAAGAAGATGGTCGGTGAACGTGCCAAGACAGTTGGATCGACTGACAGGAAGTGGGATTGCTTCGCCACTATCGGTGCGCGTGGTGATCAAGTCCGCATCCTGGCTGGGACCAGAGTGGCGACAGGAAAATACACCTTACACATCAAAGGTCTCGAAACGGTTGGCTACCAGAGTCGCGGAAAGCTTGATGCCAAGTTCTATGCTTTCTATGGTTCCGATGACATCTTTCAGCCTTTTGGCGACCCACCATACCTGGGGACTCAATCCGTGCCAATTGTCAATGGGGAGGCACAGCTGAATGTTAATGTTACTGATCCACATACTGGCTGGAGGATTGAGTTTAAGCGTTATTGAACGCGCAGTATGTATAGATGCGGTAGTAGGGCCGGCCGAGCAACTCGGAGTTTGCTGACAATTGACCCCGGCCTTGATGATTATATAGTCCATTTCCATTACATTACAGAGACATCTATGATTCATTTCATGACTGTGGACTCGGCGAAATGAATGTCATCCTTTGGTATCATAACAATTGTGGCGCGAGAGAGGTTAAGACTTTGGGCGAAATCGTATCGACCGTAATTTACACCGCAGTTTAAGGGCCTCTCCACTGTAACAAGCTGAGTTAGTGGATGTTTTAGCGGATACTGCCTAGACATTGAGCCCAAATTACAGCTCAGTTACAGGGCCGGAAGACCTATGAAGACCTACAGTGTCAACAAATCCACAACATAGAGATCTGTAAGATGGACCCAAAATAATTAATATGCATTTCTAAAGCTGAAACTACCCCAACCAAAGGTCGGAAACCAAAAGGGTAAAGAAGAGAAGTAACAGGGTACGCTGTTCTAACCATTCTAATATAATCTTTCCATCCCATTCTAATAAATTCATTCTAAGACTCCGCCTTCTTGGTAGCCTTGGTCCTGAGCTTCATCATGACATACACAAGCCCATAGAAACCAATCACAAAAGCAACAACGATACCAGCATTTCTCCAACCGTAGTACTCTTCTTTGAGGTTCAATGTTCGGAGGTAATCTGCTCCCGAGGTGTATTGGCAAACTTGGCAATCGGCAAATGCATCCGGGTTGAGGAGGTTGGTGGCTATGCCCATACCACTCTGGTAATCAGACAGATATGCGCCGCAGGTGGTGTTGGAAGGAGGATCGAAAACGGCGAGTTCGTGGGGTTTGCAGTGGACGGGCTTGTCCCAGGTTGTGAACACGAGGAGCGAGCTCATGAGGTAGTTGAAGGGATCAATGTAGTACATCCTGTGACTTGAGTTAGATGGTGATGTTAGGATACCATGAGAGGTTTGTCACTTACCAGTATCGCCAGAATTCAACAATCTGGCTGTAGGGAATCATAACACCGCAGAAAGAGACGAGAGTGGTGATGACCAGAGGATTGACAAGCGATGCAAAGACCGCGTTGGGAGTGTATGCAGCGATGGCCTGGCCGATACCAGTGTACAAGCCTTCGTACATGAGCTGAAACATGTTAGCTTGAGTACTCAAAATGTATCAGAGAAAGAAGAACTTACCGCGACAAAGAAGACACTGCCGGCATGCTCAGCACCAGTCGGAAGCCCAGCAGTGAAATACCAGCAAACGAAATACAACACTGCACAAACCAGCAAATACGGCAGCTCGGACACGATCAACCCAGTGACGAACGGTGCCCAGTGATACATCTTGCTCTTCTTCTCCCTCGCCTCATAGATATCCCTGCGATCGATAAATAGCGGCTGCAGCTGCGCGATAATACCCGGCGCGATAAAGATAAAGTTGAACACGGTGAATAGGTTCTGCTGCAGGTCTGTCAAGCTATCGCCGATCTGCCAGAAGGTAAAACCGTTGAGAAGCGGGAGGAGGATGTGCATGGCGACCTTGTTATCGACGTATTCTGTGTTACGGAAGAGGGAGACGTTCATTCGGTGTGTTACGAGCTTGACCTGGGTCCACATTGAAGCAGCGAACTCGTTGCCGTCGTCGTTGGTGCTTGAGGGTTGAGATGCTGCTACTTCGATCATATGGTCCAGGTCTTTACTGAGTTGGTCATGTTCTGGCGACTGCAGCCAAACCTGGTTCCAGTCCGTGTCCTTGTAAGGGCCATCCTCGCCCGACACAACGTCGATCATGTGTTCCGCGGGATTAGCCTCAGGTGGACAAGGTGCACCATGACGGCCGAAATACTGCTTCACGGTAGCAGCGTTATCTCCGATATCGCCGAAATACACAGTCTTTCCACCTTTGGTAAGCAGCAGCAGCGTGTCGAACTGCGCAAACAACTGTGCAGATGGTTGATGGATCGTCACTAGAATAGCCTGTCCTGCGGCCGAGAGCTTTCGAAGGAAGCGCACCGTGTTGTAAGCAGCCTGCCCGTCGAGTCCAGACGTCGGTTCATCGAGAAAGATGAGAATACTAGGCTTTGCGACCAGCTCAACCGCGATGGTGAGGCGTTTCCGCTGCTCGATTGACAGGCCGTTTCCAGGACGACCAACGAGTGTGTGTTCGAGATCGTTCAGCTCAAGGAGATCGACGATGGTGTCGACGTAGCGCAACTTCTCTTCGTCGGGTATATCACGCGACTGGCGTAAGAGGGCAGAGAATTCAAGGGCTTCGCGGACAGTTGCCAACGGCTCGTGGATATCGAGTTGCTCGACGTATCCAGCTGATCGTTGGAAGGATACAGGGATAGGTCGACCGTCGACCAAGACAGATCCGTGGATTGAACCTTCGGTCTTTCGCTGGGCGAGGACGTCGAGGAGTGTTGTTTTACCGGCGCCTGAAGAACCCATCAATGCACCGAGCATACCGGGTTTAACGTAGCCTTGGACGTTATCAAGAAGCACACGGTCGCCGTCTGGAGTCTTGACGGTGTATGTCAAGTTCTTCCAGGTAAAGATACTCTTGTTGCGCATGAGGTTCGGGTCAACTTCACCATCAGAAGCTCCAGCTCCATTGTCGGCGCGTGTCTTTTCCGATGGTGTTTCGCTGTCCTTGGAGGGGAGGAGATGCTTGGACTTGTGCTGCTGTTCGCGAGGAATGAGGAGGCTTCGGCTTCCTTCTCCGACTTGCTTCCATCGCGATGTGAAGAAGATGGTGAGGCCGACGTAGAAAACCCACCATGCGCAGTTGATGCCAAAGTTGCGCCAGATGTGGCTGTGACTGAACGACATGTTGGAGAGGTAAGCGTCGCCTGTAACAAATGCAGCGCCGGGTTCAGCGCCGCCTACACCAGCACAGGCTTGTCCTCCATTGCCTCCGACATATCCAGGGCCGTTGGGAACGAGGTAAGGGCCAACACATGGGATTTCTTGATCGTGAAACTCGTTTCCGAGAAGGGCCTCAAATCCGTAAGCCATGGGATTGATCCAGAAGATCCACGATAGCCAGGGATGCATCTCGGGCTTGATGATCATGTATCCCATGTAGACAAACAGCGCGACGACAGAAAGACCAGAGACCTTGGTAGCAGCGTCAAAGGTTGGAAACGCAGCGCCAATGAAGCGGAAGAAAGCCGTCATTGACAAGGCGGTAACGTAGTTGGTAACGAGATACGTGAAGAATGCACCGGCAGTAGTCTTGAGACCGACGAGGAAGTAAAGCACAAGACCGAATTGAGTGACTTGAAAAGCCAGGATGGGCAAATCAGCAACGACTTGTGCGATAACAAAGGCTGCCGGGTCATAAAGAGCAAAAGACCGATGCTTCGCAAGGATAGGTCGTCCAGTAAAAGAATCCGTCACTTCCGACAAGGCCAAAAGCGAATTATACAGAACTGAGAAGAACAAGGCACCGCCCTTGAGAAAGAGACCAGCCGAGTTATCCGGCGCAGAATAGAAGAGTGATCCGCCCAAAAAGGCCTGAATGAGAGTCGCGCCCTGCTTCATGAAGAGCGTCGACTTGTCACCCCACATGATCTGATACTGCCTTGTGACAGCAGCTTGGATCTGCATGGCGAGGTTCGTGGTGACGGGGGATGAGGCGGGGACGTAGCGCTGCTTCTCGCGGGCGACCATCTCCTTGAAGGTTGCGGTGTTCTCGGCTGCTTCGGTGCTGATGGGGTATGCCTGACACTCCTCGACCATACGAGCTTTGATGGCCGATCTGTCATAGGCTGCGCGTACACCGTCTGCATCACGGGGGAAGGTATTCTCATACCCCTCCGCAACACGCCTCTCAGTCGGAACAGTAACACCAGTCAGAAAATCTCCCCGATTCGAGCCAGAATCTCTGACGAATCCAAGATCTTCCATGAATGGAACAGCATCTTTCTGCGGGCCGTAAAAGATCTGCTTCCCCTCATCAAGAACAAGGACCTTGTCAAAATGCTCGTAGATCCCATTACCAGCCTGGTACAGCGTGACGATAGTAGTCAAGCCAAGAATATCAGTCATGGCGCGTATAGCTCGCACCCACTCCAGCGCCGTGCTCGCATCAAGACCGCGCGTAGAGTTATCCCAGCAGAACACACTAGCTCGCGTGGTGAGACACTCCACGATAGACACGCGTTTGCGCTCGCCGCCGGATACACCGCGGATGAAAGCATCGCCGACTTTTGTATGTTTTGTGTGGGATATGTTGACGGAGCGGAGGAGGAAGTCTTTGTAGAACTGGGCGTATTCTTCGCGGGTCTTTATGCCGGGGGGTAAATGGAAGGGGACTTTCATGCGCGCGGCGAAATCGACGGTTGCTTCGACTGTCAGGCTGGGGAAGAAGATTTCTTCTTCGGTGTTCATTATGATTTGGCCACGGTAGGCTTTTGCTTCGTCGGCGGACATGTTGCCGTAATGAACATCGCCAGAAACTTCTTCGTAACCAAGACGGTTGTTTGCTAGGACGCTTAAGAGGGTGGTACATCCACTCCCAGGGCGTCCAAGAACAAGCAACATCTCACCAGGCTTGACGCAACCGTGCGAGTCATCAATGATGGTCTTCATAGGCGCGTTTTTAGCGTTCTGGTGAAAAGGGTAGAACTGGGAGAGGACGTTCTCGTTGAACGCAGCGTCGCTGCCTATGCCTTTGACGGTGAGGTTCTGCCAGGTGACGCCGAGTTTACGAGGTTTCTGGCCGATTTCTTCGTCGGCGTCGCGCATGGCTTGGAGTTCTGGGGCGAGATGCCATTGTGTTGTGGTGTTGGTCTTTTCAAGGGGAGGTTTGTCGATTAAGGCTGGGGGAGGTTGTTCAGTGGCTGTGATAAAGCCGTCTTCGGTGGTGGATGAGCTCATGCTCATTTTTACGGTTGTTGATTAAAGAAAAATGAAAGAGTAGTAATTAGAGAGCGATACAGACTTAATTGATTGATAAAGAACGTAATTGAACGAAAGGTGAGTGTGATATAACAGCGACAGAAACGGCTTCATTTACACAGCGAGAAAACTCTATCTCTTCACCATCAAAGCGTCATCAACCTCACTGACTAAAACTCCAAAAACCCTCCGGACTCAGATATGGAGACCAACTAGATTGATCAGCAATCGCAGAAGAAAAAAACCCTGCGGAAACGCCATCTATTATCAGGAGCGAGGAGTCCGACCGTCTCCCTCACGGCATGTTCCAAGGCTAAACCCCTTGCGGCCACACAAGCGAGTCCGAACCGATCGACAGGCCAATGCGAGGACGGCAGTTCCCCCCAAGCGGAACTGTTACCAAACGCTGCCGTGGACCTTCACGTGTCGGAGAGTATAGTAATCACCGATTCCACTCAACGGGACTAGCTCGCTTTGCGGTGTAAAACCATCCGCGGAGGGTTTTGTATATAGAGGTGGTACTCGCAGCGGACTTTCTTCCTGTCCTTCAGTCCGATAGCCAATTCAATCCAGTTTTACCACTCCTCTGCTTGCAGACAAAGCCCCATACTGCGCTTGAACAATGGGCGCCGCCACACCGCATCCCTCTCAGAGACGCTTCTCCTGTGACGTCTGCAGGAAGAGCAAGTCGCGATGTCAGCGGATAAGACCTACCGATGAGAAATGTGCACGATGTTCGATGCTGGGCGTCAAGTGCGAGATAGGACAGCAAAAGGTCCCAGGGCGACCGCGGCGGAAACAAGCTGGGAAGGGCTCACCACCGCCTGTTCAGCAATTGCCTGCCAGTCAAACAGTCTCTCCGAGTGCTGTGCCGCAAAATGCTGCTTTTGTGGATGATTGGAGTCCGTTTGACTGGACGGGCATGTTATCGCCGAAGCCCTCTCCTCCTCGTATGCCTACTGCTGCGATACAAGATGGGATTGCGGCATCGTGGGGTATGGGATTCACAGACATCTTTGACCAGTCAAGCACGTCTTGGAATACAGGCGGTGATCTCGAATACACAAATACTCCGTTATACACCGACCTCGACACCATCACGAACATATACCCAATCGGCATGTCTCCAAACTCCACCGTCACATACGAGACCTTCTTCCCCTTGACCAACTGCCTCACAACACATCACCCGCGCAAAGTAGACCCTGGAGAGTTCATTTCCGACCTATCCACGATAAACCTCGGTCTTCACGTCCGTCTCGAAGCAATAAAGGCGACCAAAGCATCGCTGGACTTTGATGCTATGATCTATCCACACGGCCCGTTGTTTATCGACAACATCACATTGGCTGAATACGTCATCAAAGTCGCCCAAGAGTTTCTGTTCATCTTGACAAAACTCTACAATACCCGACATTGTCCTGAGCTACTATGCGACTCACAGCCGATGGAGTTGGTCCGTCCATGCCAGCCATCATCAGAACTGCGCAGGCAGTCAAAGAACCTATTCCACGTCTCGCTTCCTCAACCTACCATTACCTCAGAACCACTGTCCGCCCCAATTTCGTTGATGATCACGAGCATCTTCGTCCAGCTCATCACTATCTACGAGCTCATCCTGGATAATGTTGCCACACGAGTCGAGCGAATCGCCATCGATCCTTTGGACCCTATTCCAGGTCTTATAGTCTGCGGCCGACCCCTCGAGAGACCTTGCACGCAGGGCATGATCTTCTGTGAAGTGTCGGTCAGTCTGATTGAGAACACGGAGCGTGTGTTGGGTGTTGGGATAAAGCAAGAGGCCAAAGAGGTCGGTTTGTTGTCGCCTAGACAGGTCGAGGTTCTTGGAAATGAGCTGAATGAAAGATGTCGCGTTATCCCTGATCATGCTATGATGACGCCTGCTATGTTACGGAAGCTCCTTGGAAAGGTTGCAGATATCTTTAGAAGTATCAGAGTCTAGTCTGGTTATTAGAATGTACTTGCGGATGCATTTTTGTTCGACTTGGGATTGTCGCTTGATCTTAAATACCACAAAGATTTAGGTAACTTGATATAAGTTTATAGGATAGATTTAGTATATCTTTTGCTGACTTTATTAACACCTCATAGGTCTGGTATTTGCTCGCTCCCTGAGCGCTGTGAACCTCGTAATGAAATGGAAACCTCCATATTTAAGGGACCCTGGCGATGTTTCAAGATGATGCTTGTCCTCCTCCCTGCAACCCGACTCTCTCGTAGCTGATTCATGTACAGTCAGCCACAGATTTCACACATATAGTTCTCCTTCACAACTTGCTCTTCAAAGTATAAACAGTAAATGAAATATTATTATTACAAATTAATACTACCTCCAACCCCCCTCGGGTCTCCTCTAACTAGTCTTTGGCAGACTACCCTGGCCCTTCTTGTAAATCGCCTTCTTCACATCCTTCGTAAGACCGACGCCTCCCTCAGAGATCCCATCAAAGATCTTTCTCCATCCAATCGCATTAAGAAGCCAAACAACATACGCATTCGCTCCCTGCCAGATATATTCGCCCTTGCTCAAAGCCGTCGTATTCTTCAAAACGTCCTTAACCACCAATCGTGCGAACTCTTCAGGCTTGGTACCATTCTTGAGATGGAGTCTGGATCTTTCACGGAGACCTTCCTCGGCATCGATGAAGATGCTATCTGGAGAAAGGAGCTGCTTGTCGGGTGATGTAAGATGCGTGGCCACCACTCCCATGTATAAAGTGATGACCTTGATACCGAGGGGAGCAAGTTCAAGACGTAGAGTGTCAGAGTAAGAGGCTACTGCTCCTTTGGTGGCGTTGTACTGGGCGGTGAAGTAGTAGGGTACGCGCGCTACGATTGACGCTGTGTTGATGATGGTTGGTGTTGTTTTTGAGTCGGCGACTGATGCGAGGAGAAGCGAGGTGAAGGCTTGGACCATGTCGAAGAGGCCAAAGACGTTGGTTTTGAACATGTTCTGGACTTGTTCTGGGTCGGCTTCAATGGCAGGGGCCTCGTACACTGCAACAGTCAATAGCCGTCATTTACAATTGGCAGAGCAGACTGACTCATGCCAGCATTGTTAAACAGAATATCCAACTTTCCTCCCGTTCGCTTGATGATCTCATCTTTGAGAGCAGATATGCTCTCCGACTTTGTCACGTCAAGTGTCAGAAGCTCAATGCCCTTCTCTTGAAGACCTGTAAGCGATTTGATGGATCGAGCAGTCGCAAAGACTCGGTAGCCTTTGGCTGCGAATTCAAGAGCGAGGGCGTGACCGGCTCCGCCTTCGGAACAGCTACAAGCATGTCAGTAAGTCTTGATCTGCATGCAATGCCAATCGTAGTGGAGCATACCCAGTAATTAGAGCTGTCGGCTTGTTGGACATTATGGGGTATTCGCAGGGCGCCGTGGAGATAAACGTGTCAAGCTCGTGCTGGTCAAGCTCTTTAGCTGATTGAGTATGCTGAAAGTATTGATTGTAATGTAATATTGAGTCATGGCTAGAGTCTCAATTACCTTGTCTCTTTATGAAGCTTCTATTCAACCTGGTAATTGGTCATCATTTCAGCTATAGATAACCATTCACTTCTCTCCTCGGAGGCTTTAGTAATACTGGAAAGCACAGCTGCAACCTTAAGCCGGCTGCGGGCGCATGGATACTCACTAAAACTCAATTTTAAGTGTCTTCAGTGCGGAGTCTGCGGGCATTGCTCCGATTAATGCGGTCATTTCGGGCTTCGCGGCGGGGAATGCCTCGGTAGTTAGTTGATTAGTGAACAACCCGACAAGCTGAAGCTGGTCTGGGTTATTAGTAATTGAAACTGATGCTGTCAAAATCTTCTTACAAACCGGAAAAATAATTATTCCCTCCTTCTGGTTCTGTTTCGCACGTGTTATGATAGTCACAAGACACTTGTCCAACTTTGCCTGGCACAGTGACACTGAAGCTTTTGTACTATGCAGTTCACGATATTGTAAAGCTGCCAGCTAATCACAATGCATATTGCACTGGAATAATGAGAGGCTGGGCGCTGAAACGAAGTCCACAGCATGCCTCCCAATACGATGTGAAAGATACCTGATCTTGTCTTTTTTGTCCCTTGCAATCGGGATATTGTCACCATGTTGGGAAAACGAGCTGCAGTAGGTTAAAAGCTTTACAGAATAGATCGATAAGAATAAACCAGGCATTAAAACTAAAGCAGGAAAGAAAGCTTAGGGCCTTAATCCTAGACAATAAAAGGGCTTAGGTAATTTAGGATAAATTTAAGGTAGCTTTACTAACTCTAGGGTATCCTTAACTGAGTTTATTTTTAATATATTATATTTAGGTCTGAGTTTTCTTGTCCCCCAAGGCAAGCCTCACTCCGATACACAGTCGTCACAATGGCAAACCCAAAAGGCCGACTGACCTGCAATGGTCTGCATTTAATGCAGCCCCGTCTGGTCCACGCTACTAGATAATAAATATGTAGCCTTTCAGATTTGAGGAGCCCTCTTCCATTATAGCATCCTTGTGCATAACGTAAGCTGGTGTTGCAGGCTGGTGTGAAGTGGGCAAGATCTGGTTGGTCGCAAGAATGAGAGTCCTGCACTTTAAGAGACATGTCATATTGTCACATCAGGCTGTCTATCTGGCCGGGCGAAGGATGCAAACGCCACATTCAACATTTCGTGCAGCTGTACGCTTTCGCTCAGAATGGCCAACATATTCAAGCCGTTTACGCAAAGGGCGTGAAACAGCAATTCGTGTCTCCTTCGCATTGGATATCTTTTTAGAAGAGCATTTGATCTCTTTCAATCCAATTATACTACATCGAGGGTCCCGCGCATATATCAATACAGTCTGCTCACTCCACTTTCTAGTCTTTGTTCTTCTCAGACTTGATTCTGTAAATTCTGCAACGTCTAGTCCATTAGCTGCAAGCGCTCACATCCAGTCCAGAGTATGTCTCTTTTCCTCCCCTTATCTATATGCTAACCTGCAGCAAAGACATCAAAAACATGTGCTACCAGACCAAGACCGTCGAAGTCTGCGACAAATGCAGTAGTACCAGTGCTGGTAGCTATGGACCCATCACGCCATGCGGTCGACGTGGACGCGGCCCTTTGACCCAGATTGATGATAACACAGAAAGCCCTGCCATGGAGTTGAGCTTGATCAAGAGGAAGTGTCTATCGATATGTGTCATAACTGCCGGATCTTGGAGGAGTTGGAGGCTCGAGAGCGGGGGCGACAGCAGAACAATGATACCGATGATGAAGAGATGGAAGAGGTCTATATTCCCTAGTCGCTGCATGCTTTGGCATATTGGTATATCCCAGCGAGAGTTACCATAATCCTCGAATCTTTGAAGAGTCGTATAGCCTTGAATTACAGGACCTACTTCTCTTATACACTTGCATCATGTAGCTCATCAACAAGAACAACACACTAGTGCTCATGTCTATATAGAGAACAAGTGGGATTTTGCCACTCTACTGCAAGTCATCCCAATTTCAGAGCAACATTTTAAACAGCTGACATACCATAAATGTCGCTGGTGGCTGTGACAGATGTCATGGTTGCAAACTTTGTTGCCAGTGGCGCCATGATGCAACGCTACATCTGATAGCTAACCAGATCTAGCCTCGAATACCACGGATTCGGGATCATGAGGCCACGCATGAATCGGGCACCTCGTCATTGTTTGGCAATAAAAGGAATGAGCCGCCAAAATGGCAGTGACTCCCATTTTATTCTTGTCTCTCTTCTTCTTATCTTGTTATTTTAGTTTCGTGTTAAATCTCGCCTCTACTTCGCCATTATGGATTTTGAAGATACCAGAGCACGGATAGTGCAGTACGATCACCTGCAACGACGTTTGAGATCATAGTTGACGGATCAATAGAGCCCGCGAGTCCGGCGAATTTACAGACTTTACTTTTGCGTGCAATGGGAGAAATATCGAGGTTCACAAGATTATCATTTGCAGCCAGTCTCCGGTCTTTCGTGCAGCGTGCGCTGGTCAGTTCAAGGTACAGAGATTTGATGCACCATATGACCCCGATAGTCGTTCTGACAGACTTCTAGGAAGCATTCTCTGGAACATATGATTTAACTTCACATCAGCCTGATATGGTACAGTTCATGGTCGACTACCTATATACGGGCGACTATTCTATCGACATGAACGAGACCGACGAAACCAATACTGCATCAAATTCCGGGGCTCTCTCAACACATGCGATAATGTATGCTTTCGGGGAGGAATATGACATCAAAGGGCTCAGAGATCTTTCCGCTCGAAAATACTCATGGTCCTTGGATGAGAGCCTGGAACTCGACGAGTTTCTCGATTCTATTCCGTTCGTGTATACCTTGACGCTCGAGAGCTCAAGGGGTCTCCGAGACCCGGCATTGGAATTTGCAAGGAACAAGCTACGCGATGCGGGAGGACAATCCGATATCAGAGATGCGTTTGACGAGCTACTCATTGAGTGTCTCGATTTCTTAAAGGAGCTCTTACACTACTGCATTCAGGCTCCGTCCTTTGGTTACTGTCCCTGCACTGGTCCACGGGACAAAGTGCCAGTGGAGGCCGAAGGATATCGTTGCAAAGAATGCGGCAAAGACGGTGCAAGCCTTGGCAGGCCTGTCTAGCAAATACAATACAGTAGTCTAAGGCTGCGTAAGACTTGAAGGTAGAAGTTTTATGTCAAGCAATACAATATAGTTACTCATGCAATTTAAAGTTAAGATTCTAGGGTATAAGCTGGAACACTATGTCTATAGTTATAGTACCGAAGTGGTTCCTAGCAATTTGCTGCCATTTTGAACGCCGTGGTTAAGACTTCCAGCCAAGCTCACAGACTGAGGAAATTTGGGATGGTATAATGTCTAAGTTTTAAGCTAGATGTGTTGTTTATAGTTGAGACTTGTGGTTGAGATCATATTCCGGGAAGACCAGCTTCTCCGCAGAGCACATGCACTGCTTAGTCAAAATCGATGCGTTACCACTCTCTTCGCTGCATTCTTAGCCCCTCACGGGACGTTAAAAGTTATTGGAGAAGTACTTTCACCGACCTGGCGAGGAAGACAAGATGTAAGTCGGATTGACCACAGCATACATCCGGCACACGGGCAGCAAGGCGAGTAAACTCCTGAAAACAAATATCTGGCGCTTAAGCCTAGCCATTGTCATGAATCGCATGATACTCAACATGTACAATGTTACGGAGAGTACATCAATTCACTGGGGTGTCAAGTGCTCTTCAGCAAATCGATACCTGCGCACATGGCGGAATGGCTCAACAATTAAATTGACACTCAATTTACTAAAAGAACAAACAGAAAGTAACCACGATTGATAAAAAATTCCTCCACGTAATTCTCTCTTCTGTCACCAACCATGTGGAATGATTCGGTGGCTTCCTCCCGATGAACTACTTATATAAGATGCATGCTAACTGCGATCCTTCATGGAAACCCACTCAGCTTCTGATCGATCGCAGTCAATGAGATATTGACATTGAGACTGACTTAATAGAATACAATCCCACTCAGTAAAATAAAGTCACAAAGTCTCTACAGAACTTATCAAAACCAGCTGCTTTATCAGTGAGAGACGAAGCCTCGAACATCATACTGTCTTCTTGATTGCTGGGATCGATTCGGTATAGCTCTTTCTTATTGGCGTCATATTTCAGGATCATGAAGCTCTTGCCGCACGCAAGCATTCCATACTTCATATTTTTCCTTTCCTTAGACCATGCTAGGTCTGGGAGGTAATTTGCGGCTTGGGCCTTCCCATCCGCGACCATGGATTTCTCATATTTAGGAGCTTTGCCTTCGAAAGTGAAGATGGGCTCCCATTCGGCTAATTTCTCTTTCCCAAAGACTGCAAATATTGTAAGATCGGGGCGCACGCCTGTGGTCTGTCTTTGTTCCGGGGCGATGATAAAGTCTGGATAGGGGAAGTGCCTCCGAAGAATTTCAGTCCATATGCCATTACAAACGGCTTCACTTGTACTGGAGCCATCGTCGATCTCGGAGAGGTAATTGATGGCGAACTTCCAAGTCCCGTTCTGCATAACTGCCTCCGCGCCGCCCATGACTTCCTCGTTCATGTTCATTGTGTTAAGTGACCTGGAATGAAAGCACAAGATTGAAACGTGCAAACTGTGGATAGGAATCGCGCTGATGATGTGAAAGGAAGAAGGTCGATACAGTTCAGATGAACGGGACATTGAAGGGCGAAAAGAGTCCCCGACTTTGTAGGTCACGCACCTCGCTTGCAGGTCTCATCTATGCACTCTAATTTTGATCACGGAGTTCAGCTTTCGCTACCTTGATCCACGTGTGCTCATCGCCGAGTTGGCTAGGGCCCAACAAATTCAATGGCCGTGCCGTATCCGGACAATCAACAATAGGCCAATTTGACTTACGTAGCTGGCTTGATTGACAGACGAGCTGTAACTCGGATACCCACTCGAACTACCGGCTGGAATCCCAAGATTCGCAGGCTACCAACACCCCATAGTGCGCGCTGACCGTGCTAAATGTATGGTAGGTTATCAAGCGGTTATCGGAGCCTGTTCCCCGCGCAAGCCCTTTTCAGACAAGGTTCGCAAATGGGGAGATCCGGCTGATCACTCTGACTTTAGGTAACTACTTCATGATTTGGCTCAACACCTTTCTAGATGCGGCAAACTCTTTAGAATGCATCGCTCAGGCATGGTTTGGTTCATCTCACAGAAAGGACATCTAATCCCACTTAGCTTCATCATCGATGGGAAAGGAATGATAGCAGCGGCCGTTGTAGGCGCTCTGCTGAACAGGGGATAAAGGGCTAGATCAACGCCCAAGACAGACAATGAGTGGCAGAAGATCGATTGGTCTCGGAGAACTGAGATATGCGCCACGGGACGTTATCACATATGTTTGCCCGTTTGAGAAGGTCCTTCACCCAGCCACGTGTGAGGCATGTGATGTAGGCTATTAGCTGCGGGGTTTATCAACGCAAAACGTCACTCCAGCCAGCCACAATCACCATTAGCCTGTTGAAGAGTTCCTATTCAGGACCGAGTAGATTGAGCGCTCCGAAATGGTCAATTCAACTCGCCACCATGCATCCCTGCTTATATGGAAGGTTCAACATGCCAATGCGAAACTCGTATAGGATCATTGAAACTCTCTTGGCGAAGTAAGTCCATTGCTGCATGGATATGCCGAGTACCGAAAATAATGTAGACACTCGTCACTTCTAGTGTAACAAGTCCAAACAGTATTCGGCTTAGCAGTTTGCTCCACGCAACTGATCCTTGATCGAAATTGGCGCCGTCTCTTCCGACAGGCAACCTCCCGCTTGCTCAAAGGGTTGAGGCACATTCAATATAGATAGTGTAAAAGAATCGCATCTCGTATCTCGGGCCGCCAAGGCAGGAAAGGTCATCACGTCTTGGGAGCGGGATACTTATTGTAAAGACGAGAGATCTGAGCGCCGTATCACCTCCCCCGCCTCTATCGCTTCTACTCTAAGTCAGTGGGGGACAAGATAGGGAGCTTGAGCCGACCACCACTTGAATATGGGACAATCGTCCTCCGTAAGAACTTAGAAGGCACAAAGTGGAATCACAGCCAGCCACAATCGAGGGGCAAGCTGTTCCCAGAAGGTCAGATTGCTTGTCACATCCTAAAACTTACTTGTAGGTTTCCCGAAAAAGAGCGCATGATCCTATATTAGATTTTGCTAGCATACTCTAAAGAACTATCAACAACCGGAAAGGCACATCCCTCCGACAGACCAAGCCTGTGTGTGTAACCCAGGTTGGTTTATCACAATCCATCATATCATTGGCATGGACCTAAGAACAACCTGGAAGACTTCGCTCGGAACCTAGAATGATGCCAAGATATCCTAATCTTGTCTAATCGAAGTGAAGTAAGCGTCCTGCCGAAATGCCCACCTTTCAAGCAATAATGAGCAGTCATGTCTTGGAATGGGTCATAGAATTCGGTATCTAAAACCCAGACGTCGCGTCTTTCCATGTTGATGATCAATGCATGCTCCAATGGCTCTGGAACATAGTCTACCACATTTTCAAAAGCTATTCTCTGCAGGCCAGAAAGTTATTACTGGAAAGAGAGAGAGACTCGATTTGATCCGAGCACACAGCAGTTGACGGTGAAAACATTGGCACTGGTGGGCTGTCATGGTGGCGTAACAAGCAAAAATAAATTAGTATGGCATAACTTCTTTGTACATTTCTTACACATTATTCATGACTTGTTAGTGCAGGCATATGAAGAAGGAAATTTATAAATTATCAAACTCTCTATAATTCCCAATAGCTGAAATCAATTGGGACTTTTCAGTGTGTCGGTTTGATATGTCTCGTTAAGACGTCATAAGCTTCAAGTATCAATCAATTAAGTTTGGACTACTCTTTTACCTGCTATACCTCTAGCTAAGCCTAATATAATACATCACATCGAGATCCTTCCCCTTTGTCCTTCGGGGTTACATGTAAGCCTAGTTCTGGTTGCTTAAACTTAGTTACAGTCAGGTGGTGTCTAACTTACCTCCAATGGGATGCACATATCTTGCTTGAAGATATTCGATGATAACTACAGCTAGCCATAATCTGTAACATTCTGGCTAGATTAGGCAAGAAGGATATACTTTGCCTTGTTGCCCAGAGAGTGCTATGCAACCAGTCTAAAAGTATATAGCTAAGAAGTTCAGCCAGCCACCAACACAAGCCCATGTCCTGATTCCGCTAAACCTTCTTTTATCTATCAGTCCACCTGATCTTACCGGGAATAGCCATTTTGTGGTGACCGTTTTGAGTGCTGCAGTGTTACTGTAAGTTGGCAGAAGCTGGAATTAATGCAACTAAGTTTCTAAAGAGGCGTAAATTTATTTATACCTAAACCTAATAAATCTAAGTATAATAATAAAGTCTCTGCTCTGTGTCTTGCTGTTGAAATTGTCCAGCCAGCCACAATTGTATCACATTGCAACGCCTGCAGAGTCCACTTTTCTGTTCTTAGGAACAGGAACGTGATACTCAAGGTTATGACAGAAACGGGTATAGAAGACTGGCAGATGAGAAGCCTGGCTATGCGCTTATGAAATTAGCCATAATCTTATTACCTAACGTAGGGTTAAATCCAAATATCTACTTATTACATACCTTTTTTACTAAAGTAATAAAGAGGTTAGCTAATATACGTTTTTATTTAAATATAAAAGATTTATATTAAATTTAAATTTTTAAATTTTTAAATTTTAAAAGTTTTTTAATATATTAAATTAACTAGTTGTATAGGTTTTTAAACTTTAAATAATATTAGCTTTTTTATATATATTTTAATTTAAAATCCCTTTTTAAATAGCTTTTTTTTTTAATTTAATAGCACTAGCTATATAAATAACTAAATACATAGCTAGCTATACACGTATAACTTGCCTGTGGTTAGTTATAGTTAACTTATCTGTGTTTATAAACCCTGTTATTTAATAACTATCTAAAAAAAGACAGTAAAGAAAATTTACTGTATAGTTACTAATATCTCGAGTTTATATACTTATATAACTATTAATCAAACTGTAAGTATTTCTTTTATATTATTACCTATTTTAAACTTACTGTAGCTACTGTAGCTACTGTAGCGCCCAAAAAGCTAAATGTCAGCAGGCGTTTATATTAATCGTCGCGCTACCTATGTCTTGCTAGCTTTATGAAATTCCCTGTGGAAATTTAATTATTAGCAGGCTGTCAACGCAAACAATAGTTGTCGGGAATTTCTCTAGGAGCCCCTATGTTAGAGGTGTCCATGCCTGTCCACTGATCATACCTCCACATGACACTGGGTGTGAAAATAAACGTATCAAGAAGGAATTGGGCTCGAATGTAATATTAACAAGTCATGTTATGCAATGGCTTTATCGACACGACTTTCCTAACCCCCAGTACTGTACAACTGAGATCAACCGAAATGTAGCTTGATGCAGAACATCACAAGAATATGTTTTTCTGATTCAGAGTTATCCATTTTACTTTCACAAACTGCCGCAGTTGTGATCTGTGAAGAAACTGTTTGTAAAGTTGGCTTCGACAGCAGGCAAAAATTCGTTACCTACTTTGATTGGTTACGAGCTGAAACCCAAAATGTTTGTCATATGTGATATAGCCAGAACACCTGCACACAAGGTTAAATCTTACCGCGTGCGGTACAGAGTATTGAACACAATATGTATATTTGGTGGACTGGTATTGAATACCGCTTGGCTATATCCCACTCGGAGCTCTCAAGTGTTCAGTGGCTTTATAAAATGTACGCAAATGCCCCCGCATTCTAAGGTTTTCAGTGGGAGTTCAGCCAGCCACAGACTCTTCAACACCTTCACGTTGTTAAAGGGTCTGACCATTTCAGTCTTGCAATTGTACTTTTAGATGTTATAGTGAGGCTAATCTACCTGTAAACGGAATGTGTTAAGAAGATATGTGACTCGGGAGTGCTGCTTGCAAAGGTCCAATACACTCATGTGGTTAGTTACTCGTTATGCTGCTAACTGCTATTGGCTTAGTAACTGGTCTTGCTTGAATCTAGGTTGTAATAGTGCCATTTAAGACGCTAACACGCCTTTTAGCAAACAACTGAAGCACCGATATCATTGTCCATTGGCCGATTTTGGATTGCGGTTAGTGCATGTCTGATTTATCCAACTATACACGATTGCGTTTTTAAATTTAAGTTCTCTTGTTTACCGAGGTCCTTCAAACCTGAGTACAATACATCTGGGATGTCTCCGGAGGTTTGTCTCCAACAGATAAAGAGGTGGCAGTGACCAAAGGAAAGTTTGAGCTAATATATCACATTCTCAACATCATGCCATGATGCAGTCAGAAGATCTAGTGTAGGACACAAAGGGCACTGGATGACACAACTTCAGAGTACAGGGCGGTCGACGGAGAGGAGGACCTTGTCATTACAAAGGAAGCTCAGTCCATCTGCTTGAAAAAACATTTATATAAGGTTGATGGCATCCCCAATTCATCCTTCTCAATGCTACACACATCACTCAAACAATCTTATTAAGCTCAACAAAATATCTTACTATCAAACATCTCAATATGTCTACCACTTATACAATCATCCTCCAGAATGATCACCAGGTGCCTAACTCCTATGCCATCTTCAACGCTCCTCCCAAAGTCTCCTCCAGCGGTGTGGATCCCCAAGTATACACCAATGCCTGGATGACCCAGTACGTAGGTGTCAACGGTAACATGACCGTCCGCACCAGTGTTGACTTCTATGCTTGTAAGAATGAACCCTAGACGACTTTGATACAGCAGACTACTTATCCCTCTGCCTAGGGACGGGAACTACCCCCTCCAGCCCAGCTCCTGGTGTAGTAGTACAGACTGGAACTTCCCAGCTTGTTCAACTTGGCACCACGGACTCTCCTGGCTGTAAGTGTCCACAGTCCACAATTCCTCCATATCCTAATGAATGATCCTATAGCTACCATCCCTATGAGTGTTGTTAAAGGCACTCCTACTTTTGGTACTCCTACCATGACCTCTAAGCCGGGTGCGTATGAGATCGATACAGACTCCAGTTTTGCCACCCCCAACCGTACCTATATGATTGGACTTGGCAAAGTTGATAGTTTTGGAATCGTGTCTCCTGTCGCGACTGTAGGTTACCTTTGCAAAATCCTTTCACAATTGCTTACCACGCCCCAGATGCTTGCCGACAACAACACCGCCACCACCGTCACTCCCATCATGAAGTTTTATGTCGGCGCTTTCAGCTTCCAGCCGGGTACAATTGTGAACTTTTCGACGGTCACCCTGAACAGCGGCACTGTTGATTTCAGTAGCGGTCCCGGTCTCGGGATGTCTACTGCCGTTGTCCGTCATGACCAATTTGGAAAGTTCACCACCAGCTACTATCCTAATGCAGCCGCGGCAGCACTTATGAGGAGCCTTCGCGACAACCAGCTCACCTCCTTCATCACGGGAGGCGACAAGAAGAGCAATGAAAAGCAGCAGGAGCTTGAGTCTCTCATGTAAGTTTATTTCACGGGAATGACGATGATGAAGCAATTGCTAATAGTAGGCTACAGTGAACGAATTTCTAGTATGCTCAGCGACTCTCAGTCTGACGCATCGGTCACTGCTGGCGAATGGGCCTGGCTCGGAAAAGTCGGATGGCCATCAAACACTTCCGTTGCCGTAGTCACAGCCGGGGCCGTCTTCATAGCCGGGTACTTGGCTGCAAAAGGCTACAGGATCCACAGAGTTCAAGTCAGATTGGCTGACGGTACGATCGTGGAACAATTTTACTTCGGACCAGGTGCCGGGGCGCTTGCCGAGTTCGAAGCCAATACCGTCCAATCAGACTGGAAAGAGGCCGTCACCGCCGATCGTCAAAGTGATGGTCACTTTGATATGGGCTTACAGAAGCTCAGCCAGACCTCTAACACCGGGGGCGGATCAATTGATACTCGGTCGCTTGAGAAGCTGTTTAATGCCCTGAACAAGAAGCTAGGTAACGCTCAAGGCAATGGGCCTGACAACAGTAATGGACTTTCCAACTCGAACGGCAATGGCTACACCAACGACTTTGGCAACCAGGTTCAGCACAGCATTGCCGCCGGGGGCAACTGATCTTGTTGGGATTATTTCCAGTAGGAAAAATGGGTGATATTGGAATTTGGGCTTGATTTCGCTGCTTGATTTTGTTGTTGTTCGGTTTTGGAATTGTGTTATTGTTTTCCTTCTCCCTTCTCCCATTACCGTCACTCACTTGACCGACTACAACTGGAAAGAACTAGTATAATATGTGAGAGACTATCTGTTTTTCTCTTTGGCAATTAAATCGGCTTAGTTCTACTACACGCTCTTTAGTTACTCAACCAACTTTATCACTATCCTTAAACAATATCAAGTACTTGTCGTCTTCTCCATTGAATGGTGATAGGAACAGTAATATCAGAAGAGTAGAGAGATAGATAGTCACCTTATATATAAGGCGAGGCGCGCGGTCTGGGGCGGCTCTTAGCCAGGTTCAATTCAAAACAGCACTTCTCAAAAGACACTTGAGGCAGCATACAAACTGGTCACACAATTGCCACCACAGGAGTTCTGGTGAGGATATTAATCTAGCATTAGCTAGGTATAGATTCGTAGGTGACTTATATCCTGCTCTGGAACTTGACCAATCCGCAAGTCCCTAAGCTTACCATATCCTCATCCCTGCGTAGGACTTTTCTGCTGCAGCTAGAACTCCCCGCATTTGGTTTTTTTCCTATTTCCTTCCTATCTTAACCTTTATTCTTTAGACTCTTTATTAATAGCCATCTATCTCTTGCTTCCTAGGCATACAGTAACTACAGCTTTAGTAAGCCTTATTGTCCTTAATAATCCGCCACTGCTTTGTATTTTGTCTTTTGGTAAGTAAAGACAGTAATAAGAAAAGAGTTATACTAATCGTAACTATTTAAGACAGTGGAGGTATACGCGGCTTATGTAGTTTGTTAATCCTAGAGAAAATTATAGGACGGTTGCGAGAGGCTAATAGGCTTAAGAAGATTCTAAGACCCTGTAAATAGTTCTATCTGATCGGAGGCGCAAGCACTGGAGGGTCAGTTTTTTCTTCCGTTCTCCTTTTACTTTCCTAATACCTTCTAATATTATTACCATTATGCTCAGAAAGCTAGGTATAATAATAAATAAATGCATTCAAGCTTACAAGAAGGTAGCCCATTAAACGTTTATGCCTAAGCCTTATGCTATTATTCCCGGAAGACTAAGTAGTGTATACTTAGCTAAGTAGCTTAAAGCGGCTACAAGGCAAACAGACAGAGAGCATTGCATTAACCCTGCCTGTATAAAACACTGAGAATAGGGGCAAGAACACTACTAAGACTTGCCCTTACCTAGAGATGCAGTTTTGTACTTAAGCGTAGACTAAAACGTATATTTTCTAATATAAACCTCTATTATAAAGTAAAGATAGCTAATCTATCTAAGGGTCGTGTTAGGTATTATAAAAGACAATTTTCATACTCTTTTAACCCTATTTAAGATATATAATATATTAGCTAGCCTTAATAGATATATAATTTAGCAAGTAGCCTGCACAAAATCTACAGTAACTACTTTCTTTAAGCCAATCTAGTTTATGTATAATAAAATTAAATATAGTTTTACAGATTTTAGATACAATAACCCATATAAAATCCTTATTAAGGAGGCTAAAGATCAGTTCCCTAACCAGAAGGAGGTGTTAATTTTAAGCATCGGAACCGGCCCACAACACCAAGCTAGCCCGGTTGAATCTGAATTATGCTTCCTGGATGCCTTCATTCTATGCCATTGTACCTGGGACTATGTCTACAGCATCACGCTTTTAGCGGTTCGTCTTATGTGTCACGATTACCGGTTCAATACTCGAGCTTCCGAGCCCAGCGCACCCCAGATCCAGATGGCTACCAGGCCATAATCCTGACCTTGCAACCGCCTTTTGATCTTGCCACCAAAGGACTAATCTCAAATCTAAACTTTCCGACTGGTTACTTAGCTCCTAAGCTCGATGACATAAGACTTCGATCATTGGAGCTTATGAGTTTGGCCAGCCTCGCTGACTTGTTATGCTTCGCACCTATCACCGACCTAACATGTCACTCATTTCGAAGCGAGGCATAACAGTGAGCCAAAACTCTTCTACCTACAGTTGATCTTTGGTTTCATCTCCTAATCAATGCGACTAATTATGTCCGGTTGCGGGAGTCTGTTGTTGTTGTTAGTGAGAAAGTTGTAGTACTAGTATTATTTAGCTTATAGTTATTTCTTTTATATTAGTTTTAATTTTAAATATATTATACTTAGTTTAGTACTTAGAATACTTATTTATTAATGTAATTAATAGGCTTAGGTAGCTAGTATTTACTAAAGCTTAAAATACTTTAAAAGTTTAAATTATAAAAGTTTATTATAGTTATTTTAATAAACTCTTTTACTTTACCTCTTTTTTTCTTATTTTACTAATATTCTTTTACCTTTTTACTTTATATGCCTT